TTTAGGGATCTTGTGTATTTAATTTAGTATAAGCTGTGTAGTTACTCTTGAATTTACTTAACTGTACTTCAGGTGTTCATAGGGAGAGTATGCATGGCTTTGCCTGAGTGCTGGAACAGAATGGTTTAGGTTGGAAGAAACCTTAAAAGTCATCTAGTTCCAACCCCCCTGCCATGGGCAGGGACACCTTCCACTAGACCAGGTTATTCAAAGCCCCATCCAGCCTGGCCTTGAACACTTCCAGGGATGGGACATCCTCAGCCTTTCTGGGCAACCTGTTCCAGTGCCTCACCACCCTCACAGTAAAGAATTTCTTCCTTACATCTAATCTAAATCTACCCTCTTTCAGTTTAAAGCCATTACCCCTTGTCCTATCACTACATGCCCTTGTAAAAAGTCCCTCTCCGGCTTTCTTGTAGGCCCCCTTTAGCTACTGGAAGGCTGCTGTAAGGTATCCCCAGTGCCTTCTCTTCTCCAGGCTGAACAACCCTAAGTCTCTCAGCCTGTCTTCATAGGAGAGGTGCTCCAGCCCCCTGATCATCTTCATGGCCCTCTAGACCCACTCAAGCAGGTCCATGTGTTTCTTATGTTGGGGGCTCCAGAGCTGAACACAGTATGCCAGGTGGGGTCTCACGAGAGTGGAGTAGAGGGGGAGAATCACCTCCCTCAACCTGCTAGCCACACTTCTTTTGATGCAGCCCAGAATGCAATTGGCTTTCTGGGCTGCAAGTGCACATTGCTGGCTCATACTTAGTTTTTCATCCACTAATACGCCCAAGTCCTTCTCTGCAGGGCTGCTCTCAGTCCATCGCCGAGCCTGTATTTGTGCTTGGGATTGCCCTGACCCATGTGCACTTGGCCTTGTTGAACTTCATAAGGTTTGCACAGGCCCACCTCTCAAGCCTGTCAGGATCCTTCTGGATGGCAGCCCTTCCCTCCAGCATGTCAACTGCACCACACAGCTTGGTGTTGTCAGCAAACTTGCTGAGGCTGCACTCAATCCCACTGTCCATGTCACCAACAAAGATGTTAAACAGCACTGGTCCCAATACCGACCCCTGACAAACACTATTCGTCACTGGTCTCCACTCGGACATCAAGCCGTTGATTGCAACTCTTTCAGTGCGACCATCCAGCCATTCCTTATCCACTGAGTGGTCCATCCGTCAAATCCATGTCTCTCCAATTTAGAGACAAGGATGTCGTGCAGGACAGTGCCAAACACTTTGCACAAGTCCAGGCAGATGATGTCTGTTGCTCTTCCCTTATCCACCAACACTGTAACCCCATTGTAGAAGGGCACCATATTTGTCAGGCATGATTTGCCCTTAGTGAAGCCATGTTGGCTGTCAGCAGTTGCCTCCTTATTTTCCATGTGCCCTAGTATAGTTTCCAGGAGGATCTGCTCTGTGATTTTGCCAGGCACAGAGGTGAGACTGGCCAGCCTGTAGTTCCCCAGGTCTTCCTTTTTTTTCTTTTTAAAAATGAGGTTATGTTTCCCCTTTTACAGTCAGTGGGAACTTCTCCGGACTGCCACGACTTCTCAAATATGATGGATAGTGGCTTAGCCACTTCGTCTGCCAGTTCCCTCAGGACCCGCGGTTGCATCTCCTCAGGTCCCATGGACTTGTGCATCTTCAGGTTCCTTAGGTGGTCTTGAACCTGATCTTCTCCTACAGTGGGTGGGTCTTCATTCTCCCAGTCCCTGCCTTTGCCTTCTGTGATGGGTGGTGTGGCCAGAGCACTTGCTGGTGAAGACTGAGGAAAAAAGGTCATTGAGTACCTCAGCCTTCTCCAAGTCCCGGGTAAGCAGGTCACCCATTTCCTTCTGGAGAGGGCCCACGTTTTCCCTAGTTTTCCTTTTATCACCAACGTACCTATAGAAACTTTTCTTGTTGCCCTTGACATCCCTGGCCAGATTTAATTCTACCAGGGCTTTAGCTTTCCTAACCTGATCCCTGGCTGCTTGGACAATTTCTCTGTATTCCTCCCAGACTACCTGTCCTTGCTTCCACCCTCTGGAGGCTTTCTTTTAAGTGTTTGAGTTTGTCCAGGAGCTCCTTGTTCATCCATGTAGGCCTCCTGGTGTTTTTGCCCGACTTCCTCTTTGGTGGGATGCATCACTCCTGAGCTTGGAGGAGGTGACCCTTGAATATTAACCAGCTTTCTTGGGCCCCCCTTCCCTCCAGGGCTTTATCCCATGGTATTCTACCAAGGAGATCCCTGAAGAGGCCAAAGTCTGCTCTCCTGAAGTCCAGGGTAATGAGGTTGCTGTGCACCTTCCTTGCTGCCCTTAAGGATCTTGAACTCCACCATTTCATGGTTACTGCAGCCAGGGTTGCCCTTGAGCTTCCCATGCCCCACCAGCCCCTCCTTGTTGGTGAGAACAAGGTCCAGCATAGCACCTCTCCTCACTGGCTCCTCTGTTACTTGGAGAAGGAAGTTGTCATCAGTGCATTCCAGGAACCTCCTGGACTGCTTGTGCCCTGCCGTGTTGTCCCTCCAACAGATATTGGGGTGGTTAAAGTACCCCATGAGGACCAGGGCTTGTGAACATGAGGCTGCTCCTATATGTCTATAGAGGGCCTCCTCTGCTTGGTCTTCCTGGTCAGGTGGCCTGTAGCAGACCCCCACCATAATGTCACCTGTCCCTGCCCTCCCTTTAATCCTGACCCATAGGCTCTGTCAGCTCCTCATCCATCCCCAGGCAGAGCTCCATGCACTCCAGCTGGTCAGTGACATAGAGGGCGACACCCCCTCCTCATCTCCCCTGCCTGTCCTTCCTAAAGAGCCTGTATCCTTCCGTTCCAACACTCCAGTTACAGGAGTCATCCCATCATGTCTGTGTGATGCCAGTAAGATCATAGCCCTGCAGGCATGCGCATGCTTCTAACTCCTCTTGTTTATTCCCCATACTATGTGCATTTGCATAGAGGCATTTATGTTGGGCCCCTGATGAAGCTGACTTAGTGGCTGGAGTGGCTGGGATTCCTTTGTGTTGCTCTTCAGGTGCTCACCTGTGATCCCTCTCCAGACTCTGGGCATCTATTGCTGACACATCAAACAGGTAACAGTGGGATGGATTGAGGTTCCCCTCCCCTGACAACTGTAGTTTAAAGCCCTCTTCACCAGCTTGGTGATGTGGAGGTGCAGTGATAAGTCTAATGATGTTCCAGGCTAGGAAGTTGTAGGCAATAGTAGAGGCTTTTTTTGTTAAAACTCACTGGGTGATACTTGTACCCTTTTTCATTATCTAACTTAAGGTAATTCAAAGAATTAGTGTTTGAGCTTTATCATCTGTGTTTAGGTTGAAGATACAAAATACTTGATACTGGACTTTGATACTTGGTATTTTTAAAAATTGATTTCTATTTTAATTGTAAATTATCTTTAAAATACAAAGCCATTGTCCTTCCTTTGCAGAGGATGTAAATTTACTAGAAAGCTGTCTAGAAAGAGTGGAAACCTTAATGTGAAGACATAGGAGTGGTAGTCTGAGGAAATGTTTTTCCCTGCTGGGAAGAAGGGCAGGGGTTGGTTGTTAGTTGGTCCTGAACTCCATTTAAGTCACCTGTTCATCTGCTGCTGGTTAGTGTCTGCACTCCAGACCTCATTCACTGCCTGTTGCTTGGGAGCAGCTGTTGCTTTCTTAGGTCTCCTTTTCTGTGGTGATGTGCTGCCTCCTTACAAATTTTGTTTGTTGTCTGGAAAGCCCCGATGAGTCTATATTTATCTTAGTAGCTACAAAGTAAAAGTTAAATGTGTTGCTGGCTCTTGGGGAGCTTCTGAATGGTAACAGTGAAACTACCCATAAAAAGTTATGGCCACTCTGCTCATTTGAATCACAGGGTGGAAACTTCAGCTCAAATCATACCCTGTAGGAACTTAATTCCCATTGACTGTAGCAGCAGATAGACGCCTAAATAGATCAGAAGCATTGTGGCTTTAGTCTAAGATTTAAACTGGAATTTAATTTCCATTCATCAGCCTCTTCCAGTGAGAGCAGTGGTGCCTGTGCTTTGTCCTTCCAGCTTTTTTCCTTGGAAAAGAGATTTATTTATTTATTTTTAAACTACTTCTTTACTGTCTTCATTCTGCTTGATGTGATAAGGATTTAAAGACCTGCACTGGATGTTATCACAGCGAAAAGAATTCTGTGCAGGGCTTTTGAGAGAACCTTACTTTTAGTTTCAAAAGAATTTGCTTTACTTCAGTATGTGGCCATCTCTTTACAAAGATGACAAGAAAGTATTTAAAAAAAAGTTAGGTAGTCATTGCTTGGTTGTCTTTTAGTACTTATCAGCCTTCAAAACCTCCTATCTTTGTACATCTCAAAAACTTGGCTTTTTGTTCTTTGATAATTTGTAACATGCCTTCTGTAGCCAGTCTTATACTATTTATTTTAAATGTTTCATTAATAGCACTTTGTACAGTTTAGATTTGAATCTTCTCTAGTGATAAAACTGGGTTTATGTCTCAAACATGGAAAATCTACAGCCAGAAGAGTACTTAAAAGTGTAATTATAAAGCTAAAGTAGACAGAGGTATTACATCTTCTACATGTACAATAGTTGAGAACTGAATAAAAATTTTATGGAGGTGCTTACTAATTTCAGCATTTTGTTCATAAGAATAGCTGTATTTGTTTGAGTGCCTCTTTACATTATCTTCTTCCTTCCTTGTAAGAGGCAAAAGTAAGTGTAAGAGCTGTGTTGATGAACATTATCTCTTATCCAGTGGAAAATGGGAGACCAAAATTGGGCCGCTGGTGTAAAACATGGAAGAAAGTAAACATTGAAAGCATTGAACCACTGGGTAACAGTATTGCCTTAGATAATATTTCGGTAGTATTTGTTAAAATATTGAACAGCTTGCTTTGATATTCTGAATATAAACATGCAAAAAAATTATCCTCAAACTAAATGAAATTAAAACTGTCCTTTCTTTCCCAGAGTTCTTAACTAGCTGTACAGGCATCATTCTGCCTGTGAGGGGAGGGGACCATAACTTCTCTGATACCTGAGGTCACTTGAGAAGGAGAAGATTTCATAGAAAGTACAGGTATCAGAAGTTATCTTAGCTAAAAGAAAGAAGCTGTGTGATGTGAAAATGTGTAGTGCATTTTTGACAGTTTTATTGCCACTGTGAGTTTATCCTGTCTGTGGCTTTTTGATCCGTTGTTATATGGGTACATTTAAAAAGACATGCTGCTGATGATTGATCTTATGGATCAGGCTTCTTTTGGCAGGGCTGTTGCACAGGAATGTGATTCCTGTGCATGTTAAGTGAAATGTTCATGCATATATAGTTAAATAATGTATTTAAATCTGTGGATAGAGATAAATTTGAGGTTTGCATGGTTGCTGTCCTTTTATCTGTGGTTTTTTACTCCAGCCAGCTGCTCTTAACTAATTTTTCCTTTTGTTCTCAAGAATGCACTGGGAAGAAAAAAAGAATAGAACTGACAGATTATTTTAGTCCGTGCTAATATTTTTCTGCTGCAGGATGTGTCCTAAAAGTTTATTTTAAAAGTGTTAGTCATTGCTATTAGTGCCATGTTAGACTTAAGACACTCCTATTAGAAGTTCCCTGAGATGATGTGGTTTGTTGCTGGTTGTCCTGTTGAAAGGCCATATTCTAGGTGACTAGTATTTCTTACAGAAGGCAATTTGACAAGCTGCCTTCCAGTCTTTCTAGGGCAGCAAGAGATTTGCTTGCTCTATAGATTGCTAGTTTAAGCTAACATATGCTTTGTGGTAAAGTTAGTTTCTGTGTAGACATTTTGTGGGTGGCTAATTTTGGTTGTTTTTCATTGCTTAATCTTAGTAGCTCTATTTAGGCTGTTGTTAGGTGTCTCTTAGAACTGATGCAGACATATTTGTGGATGCTCATTTCTGGCATTCACAGGCTGCATTTTTATAAGATGCATCTGTGGGATAATGTCCTAAAATGTTTTTTTTCTGTCATCATCTGTTTTCCACCTGACATATCTAGTTTTGGTAGTGTTTTGGAAAGACTTTCTTAGGCTTTAAAGGGGAGTAATTTGAAGAATGGTAGAACTAGCAAAGCCAGCTTTGCTACAGCTTTGTCTCATGATACAGTACTTTGGTTCTGAGGAGCAAAACTCAAGTTGATTTTCCATTTGGTGGCCATTAACAATACTCCTCTATAGATAGTTTAGTGCCTCAGAGATTGGCCTGTGCTACAGTTTTTCCTCTGAGGTGATGGGTGCAGAAGAGATGGTGATTAAGAGTTTTCTTTTCCTACTCGGCCACCTGCCTTCACTGAATTTAGGGAATCAATGCAGTCTTTGTATCACGTACCCTCTGTCAAGCTCTGCTGAAAACCATTGAGCCCAAAATCTACAGATGGGGGAGAAAAAACAGGGATAGAAATGTGTGTTAGCCTGGCTTTTAAGGAAATAAACCTTAGTATAGATCTTGTTCAATAATGAGTTGTAGTGAGATCTACCCAGAACTCTTTGAAGATCTGGAGAGCTTCTATTCTTCTAGGTCATAGAGCCATGTCTGAGGGACATGAAATAGAAGCTCAAAAGTCCCTGAAAGCATTACTGCAGTTTTCATCCTGCTTAGCAACAACCTATTTGACAAGGAACACTGCTGTAAATTGCTCTTGGGGGTGGGGAAGGGAAATCCTGACCTTAGAGGCTTTTTCTTTATTAGATACTTTGATTTGACAGAGTCTTTTGCTACTTAAGTGTTACTGGAGGTTTTTGAGGCTTGTTTTCACATCATATTAAGCTGATTAGTGCTGAAGCTACTAAGAATTCTTAATAGTGGGATAAATGGCCAAAATGTGGGGGATTTCTAAGAAAAATTGGGCCTGAAAACCTCAGTCCCAGAATGATACTTTGGGCACCAGAAGGTTGTAAATAAAAGGTCATCAATAAGAGATTGTTAGTTAGTGTGTATTGTTCATAAACATATCCATGTCAGAGAAGTGAAATCAGTATATTTAATTGTGATTCCATTTGTTATTTGTGTGCAATCTTCTCTGCACAAAACCATGTATTCAATAATTATACAATATTGAGTGTTCATCTAAAATAACAGGGTTCCTTGATAATGAGTTACAAATAAAACATGAAGGTTTTGTGGAGTTCCAGGTTCATTGAATCCAGTATCCTATGTTTCTCTGTTTTAAGTTGGCTTTATTTTTCTGTAAACAGTCTAAATTAGTCTCTTTTCTGAAGATCACACAGGTTTGGGGGTTTTTTTTCAGAATTTAGTATCTAGCTGCAGATTATGCTTAGGTTTTACAGTTAGGAGGCAACTTCTTCAGTGAAGTTCTGGAATCTAAATATGCCAGACTTACCATTGAACCTTTCCAGCTGAATTTTTTAATACCACGTTATTTATTGGGTTTTGAGCACAAGGCTTGTTGAGGGGTTAAGAATTCTCTTTTGAAATTAATAACACTGAATTTGGGAACATCTGCCTCTAACATCAACCAAGCATGTGGCAAAAAAGCTTCATTTTTTCAGTTGTATTTAGTTCCAAAACTTACCAGAACCACATTCTTCAATGTGCCAGAAACAAAGCTATTCTAAGAAGAGTGGAGTTATGGCTGGATACAAATGACAAATTTGTATATGATGGTTTTTGCCCCTTAACCACTTTCTTTAGTGTGCTTAAAATAGGGTATGAAAAGTCCTTCTGGATTTGTTTCTTGGTTTCTGTTTTGAGAGAGGTGCTAATGTGTCCCAGTTATGAATAAACTTTCATGTAGTGTTTTTTGTGGTGTTTCCTGCTTCACAGATGGGCATTTGAGGCACCAAGAGTTGAAGGTCATAGGAAATCTTCAGCAGGTTTGAGTCCTGAATAGTGTCCTTTGCCTTAAGTCATTGCAGCTCATCCTTCTCCAAATTTAGCCAAAATATAGCCCTTGGAGTGGAGGTGGCAGGGACTAGATATCCTAGTGGTGTTGAATAGGGAATGTGGGAATTATTCTAGTATTTACTTAATGTTTTTAAGACTTCAAAATCCTGGGAAGCTAATGTACAAGTTACCTATCCTAACTGATTGTGTGCTTGTAGGCTAAATAAGTGTGAGGTGTGGGATTTAAGAAGATAGGACTGTATAAAAGATAACTGTTGTATTGTTGAAGTCTCTCAACATGTTACACTTGTGTAAAAAATAAAGACTTCTTTTGTCTAGAGGTTTAAAAATACAGCATATGAAATAGAGATCCAGAGAGTTTGTCATGCAGTTGTCTGCTTATATCAGCTAGGATGGATATCTGAAAAATACAGGGAATAGTAATCTTTCTCCCAAAGGTGAAGAATGGTGTATGCTGTGCCTCAAACATATACAGAAACATTAATTGGAAGACCATAACATAGAGAATACAGTTATTTCCCATGGCAGTTATAAGAGTTGATCTATCCCCTCCAGAAACCGTGGATAAAGCAGCTAAGTTTCCACCTGAACCTTTGCAGAACTCTCTTGCCGTTTGCACGCCTGTCTGTATTTGTTCACCGAGACAACAAACTATCATAGCTTATACAGAATGCTTTTCTGTTCTTGCGTGTATGTAAAACTGTTTTCATATGTATAATAAAACTACAAAATACTGAAATGGACATGGTGGGAGAAAAGGAAGGAAACAAGAATTGCTGAGTTGTTAGATGTTTTAAACTTCTTACCGCTCCAGTTATCAGAAGTGACCTCAAAATATGTAATACTTTGTTTCTTATTTGATCACATAAGAACTTTTTTCCAAAGTGGAGGTAAGATCTTTTCTAGTCTGCAGCTGGTCCTGTTGGAGCATGATGCAAAGTTTACAGACATACAAACTAGTATCATTACATTCTAAACAAGTTGTCATGGGGAATTCTGAAATGATTAGGAGAGCTGGGATCTTAGTGGAGAAGGTCTGTGTGCTGTGTATGTGTGTTTTGTTTGCTGGTTTTTTATTATTGTTTTAAAAATATGATTCTACAGTCTAGAATATACTGCATTGTTTGCTCTTCTACTAACTATATAGGTGTCTAAGAGGGTACAGGTAAATATTCCTTAACAGAGACTGAGATATCTAGAATTTGTAGCAGCGACTTACTGTGCTAATTTCTATACACATACTTCTGACTTCATTGCAGGATCTAAATAAGCCAACCAGTTGCAGTCTGGAAAAATAGTGTGGTACAGAAATTACTGTAATAATTTTAACCTTAAAATCCTAAGGCCACAGTGAAGGTCAGTTAGCTTATTTGATAACATTACAGAGCGGCTGAAAGGTAGTCTTTGCTCCAGAAGTTGGGGAGCATTGTGCCTTCTGTGATTATGCATAATAGTAACTGCAGTCATTCAAAATGAACTGCTGAGTTGCTTAAATTTCTTCATAGTGCAGTGAACCCTGACAGCTGCCGCTATTGCTTGTACTATTGCCTGTTCTTCTGTTTGCTATCCTGGTAGTTATTTAATTCTGTTAAGTAGTTCTGACATCTTTTGTATGTTGCTACTCTTCAGAGGTATACAGCTGTCTCATGTTCTTACTCATATGACGAGTCTAAACCTAGTAGACAGCAGCACTTTGCTTTTAAGAATTTGACTAATAGAGTTCAGAGTAACAGCTACCTTACTGATAATAACCAAAGGTATAAATACTATGGCAAACTGGGAATTGCTTGGTGAGTCTGGTACTTGCCAACCTATCGTATGCACAAATTAAACATGTCCTATGTTAAAATACCTTGTACATGGTGTACAAGGTTAAAATCCCTTGTACAGGGAATGATTCTAATGCTCCTGTATAGGAATGTACCATATACAAGTACAAGTTTGAGTGAAAAGACAAGGGTTTTGGAGCTGGATACAGCTCAAAATTTTATTTCATATGGCTCAAAACTGTGCAATTATCTCTTTATAACTGTTAGATGGCCCTGGGTGCTTGTTTAACTTGTGACCTAGCAGGTATGTTTGTAGAGGGCCAGATGGGCCCTTCAGAGGGAGGATTTGTCATCCCTGGCTTGAGTACTTCGTCTAAAGTCCAGTTTTGCAAGTATATCTTCTTTGGCAACTGGTATCAGGTCTAAACTTAGTTAAATATGAATATATTGACTGGTCTAATTTAAAAGAGCACTGTTAGCAGTGCTTGATTTATTTTCTGTAAGTCAGATTACTGAGGGATGTGTGTTTTTAATCAATTTAAAATATTCTGCTTCTTTTTCTTTGTAGTGGAACTTTGAAAAACTTGTCAAACAGTATGAATTTTAATACTCTAAAAGGCATAGTCCTCAGCTGTAACGAGCAGACCAATTTTTGTAAATTTGACATAAAAAATAATTTGACATTATTGGGGAACATGATCACTGCCTCCTGTTCTTTAAGCTATCAAATGTTCTAGAAAGAACAATTGTTACAATTAAGATTTGTCCAAGAATGAATTCTGTTTTATTCTATGAAGAAAAGAGTTACGATTAAGATTTTCCGTGTTTGATCTCTACCAGAGGTATAGGCTTTGGAAAGTATGATAAAAACATTATCTTAAACCATCCTCAAACTGTCTTCTGCTCTGCCTGCATCTGTTAGGGCTTTACTGCTTTTGTGAATTGGGGGGGCAATAAATGACCTGAGTCATGGTTTTTTTTTTTTTTTTTTTTTTCCCCCCAGCTTCTAGATTCTTCACCATTGTGAAGCTACTTGTTTACAAAATCTGGGGCTGGGATGAGTCTTGGTCTGAAAATTAAAACTGTATATGTGTTCTCACTTGAAAGTGCTTGCGAGCATAGCTAAGTATCAAGTAATTATAGTGTATTACTTGATATGGTTATATGCACACCTGAAAGCTTGTTTGCCACCCATGTGCTCCTGGTAATTATCTGCCCAATACCTACTCCTCTGATGCTCAAGGATGAATGCGGTAGACTCTTTTATCATAAATAGAAGTCTGGGAGCAGAGAGTAACAGGAAAGTTGAAGGGAAAGAATCTGCCAGGTTCTTTCACAGACATTTTACTGAAGACCTTATGATAAACTGAGTTTCCTCATAGAAGAAGAGGCTAATGCAGGGCCTAATGTCTGATTTAGACTCCAGCTTGATAAACTAGTCTGCCTGGATTCAGGTCTCCAGACTCGCTGAAAGCAGTTGCGTGGCCATGAATAATAATAATGGGCAAAGCTTGACATGTTGTTGAATTGCAAATAAGTATTGGGGCAGCCATGAACAGTGAATGGTTGCTTGAAATGTGCTTGCCTGGTAGCTCCAAAGATAAGCATGTCTAAATTTGTGTATCAGGCTGGGTTTTTTGTGAGGTTTGGTTTTTTTTGTTTTGGGGTGGGTTTTTTTTCTTTCCCTGTGCCTGTAATGATGTTTGAGTGAAACCTTGCAGCCTCAATGCGTAGGTTTTTTTGATAGATAAGAGATGGCCTAACAGCCATATCAGAGTTCTGTGTTTTGGTTTACATGGTCCACTTGGTGAGCTGGGTTCAGCTTCCTTCCATCTTGTATTTTGTGTTTTTGGATGACATGAGGAATGGCTGTTGGTGTAACACATTCCGCTGAAATAGCCAAATGTTGGCTGATTTGGCAAAAAAATCTGGGAGAAACTTTGTCCTTGGGAGAGGGGAGAATATATTTCTTAGCTATGTATGTGGCCCTCTATAAAGCTGAAGACTGTCCCCTTTGCAACAGTCTTTGTGGATTGTAATAGAATAGCATCTGGCCCAAAATCCTGCGGAAGCTGGACCATCCCAAGGTTATTTGCCATCTTTACTTCTTAGTCTTGTTGATCATGGCTTGTAAATTAAGGTAGAAGGCAGAGAGAGTGGGAATGTTATCATTCCTATATAAATGAAACTTAACTTCCCTGGCCTTTTGGCATTGGTTAATGTCTGTCATGACCAAATAAGTGCTTTATTCTTTGGACTACTTGTCCATGCAGACTATTCTTAATACATGAGTGCCTTGCATGTGAATCCAAGTTCCTTTTGAAGGCCTTCTGAGGCTCTAAGTTTGACCAGGGAGTTTGTTGATCACCAGAGGGTTTCAGCAGGATGTACAAGTTGTCTTGCTTATTGCAGTTTGCTCTTAGAATGAAATGCAAGAGTATTTGAGCATATGTAACTGTTCTGGAATTCATATGGAAATATATTTAAAAATTGTTATTGTAAGGGTGGTAGCAGGGGTTTTGGGTGGTGTTAAGATAAATCCACTATATAATAATGTTCTGTTTAAGCGAACACTCGCTTGTGTTCCTGCCTGATGATGAGCAGCAACTCTGTCAAGTTCCTTCTAAGAACTTCTAGTGAAATATCAGTGATAATTACTGGGTTCTTCTTCTCAAGGCTTGCTATTCTGGGGGAAGGAGAGAGGAGAGGGATGACCAGCTCTAACAGCCCTGTAATTTACTGCTGCAAAAAGAATAGTGTAACTCTAGGTTTAAGGAATTGTTCACCCTCCCTGTCTGAACATACTATGTTCCTAGTTTTGATAAAGAAAACTTCTGACTTGGTGTATTTAATTTCTCTAGCTGTTGAGTTCATGATAATTTTAATTGGGGGAAAAAAAACAAATTCCAGAAATACGGTACCACAGTTAATGGTATCTCAGCACTTGGCTGCAGGAGTGGGTGAAGTCATCGAGCTTTCCTGGTGCGGAGCGAGCTGCTGGTGGAAACTTTGTGTGCGCTTTTTTTTAATGTGTGTGAGATCATGGACAATATTTACCACTTTTACAGTGTTTAATATTAATTAAATGCTGACCCTCCTGATTTTGTGATGTTCAAATTGTGGAGATGGAAATACTTTAAAATTACATAGTGTTACCTAAGGCTTGGGGTTTCTAGGGCTAATGTGTTCTGTGGCATCTCCGGTATGCTTAAATGAAACAGTGCTAAGAGCGTTAAATATGCTGTCCTCTTTTGCCTTATGAACTCTGTTGTCTTAAGTATTGGCTTATATTAAAATTATTTTACTTTTCTGGAGTTTTTCTTTTCAGGCAAATTTTGAGGGGTGAGCAGGAAGTACCAGACTCGATGAGTTTCCATCGAAATGTCGGAAAAGTCAGGCCAGAGTACAAAAGCAAAGGATGGAAAAACAAAGTATGCAACACTCAGTCTGTTTAATACTTACAAGGGAAAATCACTGGAAACTCAGAAAACCACAGGTGAGTAAACTGGCTGTAGTTTTGCATTCTATTTCATCATTACTGTAGTACTAATTAAGAGTGCAAAGTATATGAGCACTTCACCACAGCAAGATTTTTGAACTGCTTGATACAACAGTTAAGTAGAAGAACTCTGGAAAGCAATCTTGATTACAGTTTCTGGTTAGCTATAAACAAGAGTATCAGTTCAGGGAGACAGCATTTGCAGTCTAGTAGGAAATAGAGTATAGATAAATAAAAACTGGTTTATAGCTGCAGTCTCTATTTGTTATCAGCATATGACATGCCATTCCCCAGCTGTGCTTCTTAACCGTGTTTCAGAAAACACTTGTGGTACTGGAGGTGTTTGATTAACAAGACAATGCTGACTTTCAGATCAGGTGCTTTGTTTTGCAGACAAACACTGGGTGAAACTTATACTAAAGTTTCAGAGAAGGCCACTGTGGGCCTGCTTTTTTGTGATTGATTAAATTGAGAACCAGGGGGGAAATGACACTCTGAAGGCTTTTAATTTGATTTGACATACTTGCCTAAATTGAGGGGTGAAAGAGGGGAAGCACATTCAAACTTTGTTAAAGTTTGCCACAATATTATTTTTAAAAGTTGAAACTGAGATTTTTGTAATGATACAATGTGCCTAGGGCAGTATCTTGTACTTGTTCACCTGAGATGATTAGTTGGTAGGCTGAATGTCCCATGTAGTCCATTAGCTTCATATTGCTCTTTTATACTTGTGGTCTGGAGTAAATGCAATTTGTAGCAATGTTTGTGCAAGAGCAGCATCTGCTAACTGAAACTGACAGCAAAAAATAAATGGGTTGGACCCATGTGGGTATTCCTGGACTCATAAAGGTACATTAAACCCCAAAAAGGAGCAAGAGAATGATGCTTGTCAACATGTTAAAAGATATTAAAACATCAACGTCACATTTTAAAGGGCTCCTCTAGCTTTCTGTCACTGAGCATTGTGTATAGAGGCTCTGGAATAGGCTAACCGTAGTGACACACTATTCAAAAAGTACTCAAGTTGTCCCAAACCAAGTATTTTATAATTCCCATTTTTTAAATTAAATTATGAAGAATTTTGTGTTTCTAATTCTTATATTTTCTTGAGTTTCTTGCAAAACATTTTTAGTGATTTGTACAGCTTTGCTGAATACTACCTGCTAAACAGCATTGTTAACTTGCACTTTCTGTTTTGGCATGCAGTTGCTGCACGCCATGGATTACAGAGTCTTGGAAAAGTTGCTATTTCAAGGAGGATGCCTCCCCCAGCTAACCTCCCCAGTCTCAAAGCAGAGAACAAAGGCAATGACCCTAATGTGAACATTGTGCCTAAAGATGGCACAGGATGGGCTTCAAAACAAGAACAGCATGAAGAAGAAAAGTAAGTGACCAATGAGATCAGGGTTGTTTTGCTGTGCTATTTCTCTCAAGCTTTCCCAAAACAAGGGGTGGGCAGGGCATGGGAAGAAATTGGCTCGACTTGACTATCCTCAAGATAGCTACCAGGGAGGAAAGAAGAATCTTGCTATTAGGGCGATAGTTCAAAAGAACAACAACAATAATAACCACACTTAGGTTGAAAGCAGTACGCTTACAAATTCCGTATAAGGGGATGAGTGTTTCCTTTAGCCAACTGACTTGGGTACCTTTGTGTAAGTTTTGGTGGCTGCTTAAGGGAAATACTATAGCATGTTTTTGTAAGATCAGTGTAATCAACTTAAAAGTCTCTTGGAACTCTAGGAAGAACCCTTAGGCACACAGCAGCTAAGTTAAATAATAACTTGCAAGTTTGTGAGAGTATGCAAAAATCTGTTTAATTTAGTGTGATTGTGCTGATGTATGGCAGAGGAAGCTCAAAAATTCTTGATTTGTACACATTTGTTTGAATCTGTGCTTTTCCTAATGGTTCTTAATATTTGCACTTTGGTTAGTATGCTATAAATTCTACAGACTTACAAAAATTTTCTGTCTTAAACTTTACACCGTTGCTTCATGCTCCCCCAATATGTGATACAAACAAAACAGAGGTGATGGTGATGCACTGATGTATACTGTGTATAATATAATTTCCCATGCTTAGTACAGTTCCATCTGCTGAGTTTGTTTCACACTTGTACAGGAGGTCAGCTAAAGAAAATAGAGACTAAAACTTTTCAATAATCTAATTAGAAGCTATTCTAAAGCAAAAGTTTTTTCCATGTAAGCTTAAAATAGGATATGCTTCTCACTACAAAAGTAAAACTGGGTTTTAAGTGTTTATGCTTTGACATATAAATTGTTCTGAAAAACCCTTGAAGATAGGGACACTGACTGTATGTCACTAGCACTTGTGAAAGCAAAAGATGATTAAAGGTTTTCTTCCCCTTCTTGCTGTCCCTTTATGTCTCCCTGTATACTTGACTACATTTAAATGTCAATTTTTGACATCTCTCTGAAAAGCTGTTAGACTTCAGGAATATACTGTTGTGTTTAGCTTTTTATTTTAAGCTTATGAAACCAAATTTGTCATTTTCTGCCCAATGTTTTGTATGGTACTTTAAAAACATCTTCTTGAACTTCAAGGTCACTTATACTTTGTCTAGTTAAATCTGTGTTGAGCCAGTAGCTTGTTTGACTAAAGCACACTTTATCTGCATCTTTGTCTGCCTTTCCATAGCCTACTGCGTGTGTTAAAAGTATATTCTAGTAATTGATGTTGCATTTAAAAATAAATAAATAGCTGCCCCTTATCTGCAACTGGAAGGTGTTTGCCTTTGTATTTTCATATGCGTTGTTCTGATAAAGGCATCGAAGACCACATACAAGTAAAACTAGTGAGGGGGAGGGTTTTGTTCCCAGGAACAGGTATGTATGCCCAGGCCACGAGTAAATTCTCCTCAATTCCTAAATGCATTTGCTCAAGTCTTCAGACCATCTTTGTAACTACTACTATATTTCTCCAATACTTCAACATGCTTATAAATGTTGCAGTTCACATATAAAGTGTTTTGGTATTCTTCTTGCAAGTGTGTGAATAAAGGTAGCTTCTTGGTATCAGCTTGCTTTAGTTTAATTCTTTTTCTCTTGTATCACTGCATTGGAGTTCACGTGTGTGAGTTGCTGCCTGTGATTACAAAATTTTTTTTCTGTTGCTTTCCCAAGTTGTCATTCTTCCTATGGGTATTGCTTCAGTCCCTTTTTCCTGGATAGTGCAGCCTGTTGTGTATTGATTTAGTTCAGCTAGCACCAAGCTGAGTTGTGTTCAGTTTTGTTTGTGTTCAGTTTTGGGCCCCTCACTACAGGACAGACATTGAGTTGCTGGAGCGTGTCCAGAGAAGGGCAACCAAGTTGGTGAGGGGCCTGGAGCACAAGTCTTACGAGGAGCGGCTGAGGGAGCTGGGGCTGTTTGCTCTAGAGAAGAGGAGGCTGAGGGGAGACCTTATCGCTCTCTACAACTACCTGAGGGGGGTTGTAGTGATGGTGGGTGCTGGTCTCTTCTGTCAGGTGGCTGGAGATAGGATGAGAGGAAATGGCCTCAAGTTGCGGCAAGGGAGATTTAGGTTGGATATTAGGAAAAAATTCTTTACTGAGGGGGTTGTCAGACATTGGAATAGGCTGCCCATGGAAGTGGTTGAGTCACCATCCCTGGAGGTATTCAAAAAGCACGTAGATGGGGTACTCCATAACATGGTTTAGTGGGCATGGATCATAGTTGGACTCGATGATCTTGAAGGTCTTTTCCAACCTAAATGATTCTATGATTCTTTCCCTTATGGAATGGTACACCTATAGGACAGTGTTTGTATAACTCAAATTCTAAATGGGCTTGGCTTTGAAACAGTAGAACTGTAAGAAATAAACCCTTAACAGTCTTGTTCCTTGTTTCACTTCTGAGTGGCAAAGTACAGCGACATAAGTTCGAACTTCCGCAGTCTGTTTAGAAAATGTGCAGCTGTAAGAAAATACAACTAAGTGGAAACAGGAAAGATGAGATTTTTTTTTTTTAAATTCTAGTAATCTGTGGAAACAAGTAAAAATTGCTTTTAGTTATCCTTGTGAGAAGCAAGTGTGTTTCTCCCCAGCAGTGGGGTTTTTTTTGGTGATGTTGACTTCTACATAATTTCTGAGACTACCGTGTAGAGTTTTGGGCTGATCGCTGCAGAACCCAAATGGAACTGACTTCCTGGTGGCAGTTCTCAGAAATTTAGGATTACTTTAGGATCTATTTAAAGCATTTACAGTTGTTTATTGTAAGTTAACTTGACTTGATACTGCACTAGTTATCTTTTTACTGGTATAATAAAGTGATTCTAGACTCCTGGATTTGCCCTGTAACTTCTATTTTATCAAAAATTACTACTACTGGAGATCTTGACTTGTAGACACTAATGCTTTGGAGTCTTAAGTTACCTGAATATAAAGATTTCAGAAATAGCTGTTCTTGAAAGAAGTTAAACAACATCACTGAATCTGTAGACTAGGAAGATCTTCAAGAATATGCCTGGTTTTTTATATTGGACAAAATGAGTGCTTATGTCTGCCTCTTCATTGTTAAGATAGTGAAATTGGGACTTTGTTCTTAATAGGCTTAAACTTCTGGGCTCCAGTTCATGGTACCCATAATTTTTTCATGATGCCTTTAGCTTTCCTTACCAGTTTCTTTTACTTTGTAATTTCTAACATATATTTGCCTCCTTTCTCTCAGTTCATGGTGGTCTTTAAGTGCTTTCCTCTATTAACTCCTGAGGCAAGAGAACATTATTCCAAATTACTCCCTTCCGTGGTTGTAGATTGGTTGGGTTTTGATTGTCCAATATACTACTTCAAAAGTTATAATTCTGTTCACGCCTGACTGCATTTTCTGCTCAGCCATTTTCATTCATTCCTCTCCACTTTGGGAGATCTACTTTTGAAAGAATTAGCTAATTTATTCCAATTTTTAACTGTTACTATAACAACTCCTTTTATGTAAGAAAATGGTTTTTCTGCAGAAGAGTAGTTATTGGTTCTTCAACTGTGTAGCTACCTCATTTCATTCACTTGTTTGTGGTAGTAATCCTGGCGATCTTATACCGTGCTCACCCTCTTGTATTCACAAGTGCTTTCTTCTAATTCTAGACAGCCAGAAGTGCCACAGGCACAGCCAAAACCTGCTGTTCCTGCTCCTCCAGAAGCAGCTCCTGTTGCCAAATCGTGGGCCAACACCAAACCAGGTGGACAAGATGGTAAGTGATGTTCAAGGTGGAGGGGTTCTTGACAGGCCTAGCAGGCTGTGAATGCAGCTGTGAGAGACCCCCAGACTCAGCAACCATTTGAGTCTTAACCGGGACAGTTGGGACTATGAATGCTGTGGAGACAACTTTCTTGGCTGGAAGGTGAGCTGATCCCCTGTCACTCAAGTGAGCTCCAGCCTGATTTAGCAGCAGGTCTGACTGCCTTTTAAAGGGCTGGCATAGTCACCCCTTTTGGATTGACAGGGAAATGGTGGTGACAGCATAAGATCTTGAACGTGGCTGTGGTGAGGAGGGAAAATCTCGGTCGGTAGTTATAATGCATACAATTTTGGCATGAAAAGGAGAACCATAAACAGTTAGTGGTCATTCCGATCATAATTTTGGATCATTTTGTGCAAAATGTGTATGGTCTTGCTTCTATTTAAATGTCTGCTATGCGATATTTTTCCCTTTATTTTATAGATTCCTTGGTTATTTTTTCAAAGTGATAGTATTCAAGTAGGGTTTATTCTGGGAAAAGCATTAAAGGTGTGTTTTGGGGTTTGTAACATAATTGTATTAAAGGATGGAGAACTATTTCCATTAGTGTGAATCTTGGCTTGAGTGTTTTCATTACAGGTGTAAGATCAGAGCTAAATCTTTAGCAGATGTTTTTTTAATTGCTTGTAGAGTGAGAGGTTACTTAGAATTCCTCTGTCTCCATTACGAATGTTTTATTCCTTAAATTTGAGGCTTGCAAGCTTTCTGTGGCTATAACATAGAGTTTTGGCTTCCAAGTCGAAGAAGTGAGCTCTCTTCTGGGTAGAGATATTGGAATAGTAAAATCTGAATTGCATGGAGGTAACTTCTGAGCCATTATATGGAGTTTGTTAACATTGCATATCGAATTATTTTGCCTCTTTATGCAGTGACAATTCTAGATTTTCCACTCTTTGCTCTCCTCTGTAATGCTCAGTGTTTCCTTCATTGTCAAGTATAGGAACTCTCTTCCTTTAAGCTTTTACAGGATTTTTGTAGAATAAAAAAAAGGAATTAATACTGATGCAAAGTGATCTGCATACCAGCCTTTCTACATAAGCTGATAAGATCATCTCTATGACACAGGAAATAGTGATTCAGCTCAATGGCTTCAAAATGCATTTAGCTAATAATTTTGTAGTTACCATGGCAGCTTGTGTGCCAAGCCCAGATGGCACCCTCATTTCATTCAATTAATGCAGTAGTGGGTTTGCTGTTTCAAGAAGAAATACAGAATTAAATTGGCATCAGCTGCTTGCTCTTCTCCTCAGTTTGAAACTCGGGATACACCTGTTGTGTTCATGTTTTCCTGATCTGCAGTTGGCTGGTGGAACTTGTAGCTTTTCCAGATGCCTTGTATGCATTCCAGCAGTCATTCAGCTGGCTGCCTCGTCCTCTTTTAAGACTGCAGTTGAGTGAGGCAAGACTAAATCCTTCTCTGATGCTGTTGGTGGCCATGTAGAAAGGAAAGACTTCTATAATGTAATGGCAGCATGTATTTTTCAGCTCGTGCATTGGCTAAAAGTTGGGGTTGATTGCTACCATAACATTTTTTAATTCTTTGACTTCTTTCGGAACTGTTGGCTGACAATCTGGCTATTTCAGGTTGATAGGTTAAGGGCTGTCAAGCTGATCACTGAGGATGCCATTACTTTGCAATTAAAACATTGTTGCTGTTACTGCTGTAACAGACTGCTGTTAAAGTCTACTGTGTAGACTTGAGCAGAAAACATTTTTCAAAGTTCATAAAACTCATGAATGTTGCATGCCACAGGACCTCTGAAGAGGCTCCCTTGCCTGGAAGGCCATCCAGTTAGTGTGACTGCAGTTTTCAGTCCCGTTAAGCAAGTCATTGGATGTAGCTGCTTGGGAATGTCAAGAGTCCAGTGTCCATTAACAAAAAACAAGTTAATGTGATCCATAGTATGTGAAGTTGGAATGAAGATTGAAAGATTTCAAGGCAATTTGTAGGCACAGGGGTAAATAGTGATATTTGCTGTCATGCGTTTACAAAGAAAGTACAAAGAGTAAGGAGTTTATCCTGTGCTTGACTCATAATCTTAAGGAAAAAAAAAAAACCATCAGGACATCCCTGCATTTTATTGTTACAAAGGATTCTTTCACAGATCGGAGAGAACAGAAGCTTTCTAGCTGTTAGCTAAAAAAAAAAAAAAAAGAAAAGTGTATCATGGGGATTGGTGGGTTTTGGATGGCATATGTCCAGATCCTTTTTTGTGAGTTTCCGCTATAATCCATGTAGCCTAATACAATGTCACTTACAGTAGCCAGTAATAAAGACAGGTACAGGAACAGGGTGTTATTCAGGCTGTTGGAATAGAAATCTTCCCTTAGTAAGATTATCAGTGATTTGGTACTAGTTGACCTAATAGGTCAATATCCATTATGTGTAGGGGGGGAGGGGGGTGTGAGAAATTGATTCTGAGTAGATGCTAACAAAACCTTCTAAAGAGGAAGACTATATATTTGGCTTCCCTACCATGTGCAACAGAAGTCTTACATTCCAATCCTGAGTTATGATGTCAAGGGTTTTAGAAATCAAAGAATGCTATGGTTCTGATAGTTTTCTCATAATGTAAAAGCTGTGGCCTTTTAAAGTCCTGAAGAATTATTTGTTGTTATTAGAACAGTAATTAAACTTAAGGGCTTTTGCAATAATGTAGTTTCCCATTCTTGGGGTTGACTATAGTTGTAGCATAAACTGAGGGAAATCTTTGTCTGGAAGGAGAAGAAAACAGTGTTAATAGAGCCGAGGAATTTCCAGTATTCCCTGTGTTAAGTCTTGTTCCATTGTCCTTTATTACTTTCTGATGCTTCTGGATTTTTCTCAGCCCCAACAGGTGTGATAGTTGGCCTAGTAAATTTAACAACTTTGGTAGCAAATGTGAATGCTTTACAAGGATTGCTCTTCACTTATGTGAATTATGTTGCCAGTAAATTAATGTGGCTTTAACCTTCACTTTTTAAGGGTGATCAGGCTTTTATCACTTTCTGAACTGTTATGACTACAGAAAGTTGTGACTTTGTGAATATCTTGCTGCGTAGGTCCAGCTATTCAAGTAAATAGTTATTTCCAGCAAGAGTTTCCCAGTCTGCCGGCAGCTGGGGATCAGGAAAAGTCAGGGAAAGAGAAAGATACACCTGAAGAGCTCCACGGATCAGGACCCAACTTGCGACCGCAAAGTAAGTATATACTACAAATTTTTGTGAAGTTGTGTGGGTGTGTAACTTGTTTATTACAAGATTACTTGTGCCCTGTACAAAATAAATTGACAATGAATTGACTGTTTTAATCAACACACTCCTACACTGAAGAAACAGATTTTCGGGGCTTTCTTCTGCTTTACTGTGTTCCTGGTGTGTGGAAAATAGGGCATTTAATCCTATCCTGCAGTTCACTTTCTGTTTTCCCAACCTAGTCAGTACTCCACTTGTGCTCTGAAGAGCATTTGTTAGTTGTACAATACTGGCATTTTCTTACTTCTGGCTGCTAGAGGTCACAACAGCTAAAATATGTATTTAATCAATTCTCCTAATATTAACTAATTATATAAATCATCATTAGGGTTGTCCCCAAATAGTTAGTTCTCATAAGAGAGTAGCCTGAAAAATCCTGAATAGGAAGTTTGATCTACAGGATACCAAAAGAGTGGACTGTGATTTGAAAGGCATTGGCATCTTCAGCTCATGGCTGAGGTGGTCTGACTAGCTGGATCTGTTTCAGCTGGCGGGGATTAGATCTAGTGAAAACAACCATAACAGTGCTGGTTTTAGATGTCTCTGAAGAAATGTGTATGTATTGCTTCCCCATATTCTTTTAATGGGGGGGCATGTGGGATTGTGCTTGCTTCCAGTGAAAAACAGGATTCCTTTCTTCCTCAAAAGCTTGTTTTCGATGAGGTTTGATGGGACTAGGGATCCTTTCCTGCAGTGTAGGTGGCACTGTCTTGTGCCAGTGGTAGGCAAGATGTGCCCTGCTTTTAGAGGGCTTGGGCTCTTGGGGAATCCTTAACTCCTCTCTGTTGTACAGGCCTCAGTTTTGCTTGATTTGTTTGTCAGGTCCTGCAGACTGAGGCTATGTGCTTGTTAATGTCCTCACCTGATTTTGATGTAAAGAATAAGCGTGTCAAGAAATTTGAGAGATGTCCAATACCAAATTAGCTATTTTCCATAGCTACGCGTATCTCTTCCAGCCTCCTACAGGCAGTTACAGTTTTGGTTGGCACTGTGCATACTATATTAAGACCTTCTTTCAGGTCTGACAGCAGAAAGCTGTCAGAAAGCATGTAAACCAACATGACGAGTGTTGCCCCTTTAGCAGCTGTGCTCCCCAGCAAAGATAAGTGGAAGAACTGTAATGGATACATAGGAGCGTAGTTTTAACACTGCTTAAAGGGTTTGTGCCCCTAAAGGAACATTATTTACAATGTGTGTCTGAATTTTTGTTGGTCCCTGTGGATTTGAGCACTGCTGCTAAGTTTACTCTTTTTTTTGTCATAACCCATGCTCTGTAGGCAGAAACTCCTAAAAGAATGGACTGCCTGGCACAAGTGATAGGTCATTAAAATCCCTTACTTTTCCTGGACTTCTTGCTAGACATTCACACCAAGAAGTACAGCCCTCATTACTTCTATTCTATCCTTATCAGACAGAGATACAAGCCAGACTCTGGATACCTGTCTTCACTTAGATTCTAACGTACAGGTATATGTCATTTTGAGCTGCTTGAGAGTTTCATGGTAGGCCTTTGCCGCTTAAGAAGCGTGATCTTTCCCTTGACAGCATCTTCTCACTGAGTCAACAATGGCCCACTTACCACAACTAAATCTGTTTTCTCTCCTGTGCTATTATTAGTATCCTTCCTAAATTGCATTGTGGTTTGGAAGGTAGAGTAGGACAACTAAGAGCAGTCTATAAATTTAACTCTTAGCCTTCAGGAACACAGCTGGATATAGGGCTGAAGAGGATTAGAAAACAGCCTCTGTTTTCTCAAGTGGCCGTTGCTTGTTTCGGTAGCAGATATGAACATGTGTCTGCACAGATCGCTGTGTCTCTGAAAACTGGGTAGGAAGAATGTGTTTTTCATCATGCCCATCTGTAAATCTGTAATATAAAGTCTGTTCTTGTTTTTTTCTTGTACTGATTCTGTCCATGCAGATGCTACTAGTTGGAGAGAAGGTGGTAATAAGAGCAACTCGCCCAGTTCTCCAACCGATCAAGAAGCTAAGGCTCTTGGTCAAGAAGATGGTAATGCTACACCAGCAGAACAAAATGACGGCCAGAAGGCAGCAGAAAAGAGGGATGTGCGGTTACCACAGGTCCCTCAGCCCAAGCTGAATGGCCAGCAGCAACCGCCTATCTCATCTCAGTACAGAGCAATGATGCCACCTTATGTAAGTGATGGTTACATGAAAAGTTTTTAAGCAGCAGGGATTGATTATTGGCTAGCGTGATTTCCTTATGCCCCTTTCTCCTCCCTCCATGGAATGCTTAGCAGTTCTGCTAGAAGAGGTGGGATTGCAACCAACTCCTTGAAGGATGTGGCTACCTGTTGCTGCTCCTGCTACACTGAGTTTGAACTTGTCAGGAGTTGATCAATGCTTGTAATCACTCCACCTTGGTGACTTGATGTCACACACTTGTGATATTAAGCAAACTGTCTTGAGTGAAGAGTCTTGCTTTACTTCCATTGTGATTCCTTCGATGATCTCAGTATGCTTAATGCAATGATTTTTTTTTTTTTTTAATGAATGCCTCCTGTTTTTAAACCTTTCTTAGATGTTTAATCAGTATCCTAGAATGGCATATCCTCCTTCCATGCAAGGTCCAACGAGATTTCCCAATTCTGAGCCCAGCAGGTAAGAAACCTTACAAGTGTTACTGTTGTATGGGTATGAACTCTGACTCAATGGAGAAAAGGGGGGGGGGGGGAATTTGCACTGAGTATATTGATTATGATTATACACTAGATAAGAACTGCCACTGGTTAGTCTCGCAAGTTTGGCTTGTGTGGAGCAGTGCCATGGAGTGATTTGTGTTTGACAACTGCAAAACTTGAGGGAATTCTGCACATTACAGGGTTTTTGATTGGGAAGAGCAGGAGTCAGTTGGGGACACCTTTAAAACTTCAACCAGTATTTTGCCTGTAAAAGGACTCTTTTATTGTTATAATGAAAGTAGTTAATTTCTGGTTCTCAACTCTACTGCTCTCCAACTAATGCATTATAAAACTGTAGAACTGTAATGCATTATAAAATTAGTTTTCCTCCTTTCTGTGCATTTCTCCATAGTTGAGGATGGTTGTGCACATGCATGAGGAAATAGGGGATGCTATAGGCAGTAGGGTACAAACTTTGATGGGTGATCTGTTGTTGGGATCAGGAAGAGGACAGGATGAGAGGGATGACTGGGAAAACTTGAGTATAGGAGTAGGAAGAAGGTACAGAACCTTTGACAGTGGGAAAGCATTGAAAAGTATAAAGGAATATCTCCAAGGTGGATAAATTGGTGTTAAGAAGGATGCCAGATGCATGCAGTTTGTTGTTTGAAAGTTACAAGGCACGTGGTTTTCTACTGTCAACTGATGTTTGGCTTGTTTATGAAGTGTGCAAGCAAGACTATAGCATCTAATCTTTCTCTTACATAAAGAACCATCTGGTGGTGTAGCAGTAATTATTTGAACTACAATAGTCACACACATGGATGATAGTTCACATTTATACTGTATTTGAGAGAACAGTACTGTATACTTCAAATAATTGCATACAATTTGACATTTTATCTAGTCATTTTGTGGATAAATAGTGACAGTGGTCTTTGTTTCTCTCTTTTTTATTTTAGAGGGCCAAGGGGAAGAGGACCACCTTCATGGTGTTCAGAACCTATTGAGCGACCATCCATTCTTAGTGCTAGTGAACTTAAAGAACTTGATAAATTTGATAATCTAGATGCTGAGGCTGATGAAGGCTGGGCTGGTAAGCACATCAAATTAATGTTTTCTGTTATGTGTACATTGAATCCTTCTGAAAGATTAATTGAATATTTGCTTATGCATCAGGTGCTCAGAGTGAAGTGGATTACACTGAGCAGTTGAACTTCAGTGATGATGATGAGCAAGGAAGTAGTCAAAAAGAAAAGGAAAGTGGGTGAGTTGCTTGCCAGTTGGGTGTGAATGCCACTTAACTAGCTTAGCTTTTGGGAAGGTTGAATGAAATGAGTGCAAGTACTCATTCCAATAACATTTATTCCAGTAATTTAATACTGTATTAAATTGCATAACTGTCTGCAGACTCCAGTCAGCTGGGCATGTACTAGAAATTATCCTTGCTGTGAGGAATTTTTGCTCTTGCTAAGAAACATTGAGGATAGAAGATAAATCACCAAATACCTGTGTGGAGTACACCTTCCATTTTTCTTATTTCTTTGCACATAGTGATGAACAAACACCATCAAAAGATTCCCAGAGTCCTGATGGCCAGAAGGAAACAGAAGAACAGACAGGTGCTAAGTCTGCTACACAGGTTTCCACAGCAGCAACCAAAGGGTCTTACGGCAAAAGCTCTCAGCTTGATCAGGTTTGTGTGTTCTTTTCTTCAGCTCTTCTGGCAACAGCCTTGTCAGGAGAGGTCCAACTCGGGTGTCTTTCCAAACTGACAGGTCAATTAAGGTTATGAACATGAGTGAAAGCATTAGCTACTGAAAGCTTTATCTGAGCTGTGGTAACTGTGATCGGGTGCTGCTTAGTCAACTTAGCTGCTTCTCGTCGCAAAATAAAAATAGCATGTCTTTATCTACTGTGTTCTAATCCACAGTTGTGAGGGGGTGAGAACGCTTGTGTCAGTTACTGTGACTCAACTGGCAAGCTTTAACTCTATACTGTTGTCTGTCCATCCCTGTAACAGTGAATAAAGCTGTTCTGGCAGGCAGATAGATTTTATACAGACCGTGTAGAGTTCATCAGCTCAGCCATTTTGGGTTTTGGTTTATCCTCTAGTAGAGGATGAGTGGCAACCACCTCAGCTTATGTCTGCTTCAGCCCTATTTTTTTAATTTGCCCCACACCCCCACAGGAAAAGCTACTGTTGGCTTTGAAAATTTCCCAGAAATGTTTTCTCTTGACACCAGTAGTAATGAAGCTGGGGGATCCTGAATTAGTTGTACTTGCACTTTCTCTGTATATAAAGATCACGTCTTTCAAGGTTTGAAGCTACACTGAATCCGAGAGAAAAAACAGTGCAGTAACATAAACTCTGGAATTTGGACGTGGGAATTTCTAAAGTAATTGTTCAGTAATGAAGTACATTACTTCAGTGAAGTAATCTTCAGTGTGTGAAGTGGAAATGTTCTTGCCCTTGTTTTGCATGCAAATTTGTGTTGTGTGCAGATAGTTCACTAGGTGTAGTATCTTAATGCAGTAGAAAACAGTAAATTTAAAATTTGTTAGCACGACTGTTGTTATGAGCTTGCTTAACCCTGGTACTGTGTTTGATCTAATAGGATCGGGGTCCAGCACAGCCTTCTATACATGAAAGAGGTGGTCCTGCTCTTCATCCAAAATCTATTTTACCACCGGTAAGAAAGATTAGAATTGTCTTTACTTCCTTGAGTTACATTCTTTAATGCTATGGTGGAAGGATTTTGACTAAGGAAAGTAAAAATATGCTTCACATAAGGATGAGCCTTTTCTTTAACAACTAAAATGATCATAGTGACTGTGGCCAGTAAGAATGGGACCCCAACACAGCCATGCTGCTAATTGTGTAAAGCAGCCCTGTCTTGTAAGTGGCGTATGAAATGCATGAGAACTTCAAGAGCTTTCAGTTATCCAGTCCCATTTGGGAACTAGAGAGGACATGGGCATGGGAACAGTGCTGGAGCGCTGATTGTTGAGGCAGACAGGGAGATGAAGTCCCAAACAAAATGTGTATATAGTAGCTTCTTACCAATTTTCAACACGTCTTATTAAAATCTCTGTTATCCTGAGCTACCTGGAATTTCTTTGGCTCCTTGGGGGGACTTTTGTCTGAGATCTACCCTGAGTCTCTGTGATTTAGAGCGGCCTGTAAACAAATCTAAAAGATGTTTGTCATCTTTGCTGTCACTTTGCCTTGGTGATGAGGAGGAGGAGTGACATGAGCCCAACTGAGTCCTTACCTCTCCTTTCTAAGCTCAAGTTGCATGAGTCTGAACTGGAGCAGGAAGGTGGGGGCTTGCTTTTTCTTCCGAATCTTGCTTTTTAAAGGTGCCATGCAAATACATGTGTCAACAAATAGTTAAAATGTAATATTTCAGCTGGCTATTTATATCATACATGTTCAACTTGACTTAACTGATTTTAATATTGCAGCACCCTCCTCCCCCTGATCGCCAGGTAGGACCTGGAAGGCAGGGACCCTTTCCCCCTAAACCAGTACCAGATGAAGATGAAATTTGGAAACAGAGGAGAAGACAGCAGTCAGAGATATCCGCTGCTGTTGAGCGAGCCCGTAAGCGGCGAGAAGAGGAAGAAAGAAGAATGGAAGAACAGCGAAAAGCCGCTTGTGCTGAAAAGCTAAAACGGTTAAATGAGAAATTTGGCTGTGTGACAAAACCCTCCCGGGAAGACCCTCTGAAAGAGAGAGAGCGGGAAAGGGAGAGGGAGAGGGAGCGGGAGAGGGAGAGGGAAAGAGAAAGGGAGCGGGAGAGGGAAAAGGAGAGGGAGAGGGAGAGAGAGAAAGAGAGGGAAAGGGAGAAAGAAAAGGAAAGGGAGAGGGAGAAGGAAAAGGAAAAAGAAGAAAAAGAAAAACTGGAGAAGGCAAAAGAGCAGGAAAGGGAGAAAGAGAAAGAAAAGGAGATGGAGAAAGAGGAAAAGGAGAGTGAGAAGGAGAAAGAAGATGAGAAACCAGCACATGAGGTTCCTGAGCCTGTAGAACCTGTGGCAACACCTGTAGTAGAAAAACAAGAAAGTGAAACCAGAAATAACAAGGAAGAAAAAGGTATGCTTTCACGCAAGTAGGAGTTGTCTGTCTTAAAGATGAGCCACAGAGCATAGTTGTAATCTAGGAGTCTAATTTGCATACCTAATTAACCTAGTGCATCTAGACCATTTGTTTTTCTGGCACATTACAGCTGCTAACTGTCCTTTGAGCTAGACCTGTTTGCCCAACTCACCAGAACATTAAAGGAAAAATGGGTTCTGGGATTTAGGCTGGACTTTGAAGAATACAGAAAGAAAATCAGGCTTTCTTTTCTTTCTAAAGGAGGGTCAGCAACTTATGTTGCTAAAAAGCAATGTAAATTATTTCAGCTATTCTGTTCTTTCAGCGAGCCTAGAGAAGTAGACACAAAGAGCATGTATTTAAACTTGGTGCACTTTTTGTAGTGGAACTTGAATGCCACAAGAGAGCTGTTAGACTATGCTTAATAAGGTTCTGTTATCCTTTAAATGGATAAAAGTGATTGTAAAACCGAACTTTGGTTCATAAAAAAAGTTGATTCAAATGTAATATGGTAGCATTGATACAGCACTTCTCAAATCACATAATAGTTACAACCTAAATGCCAGTGGTTGATTACCCAGTGTATTTGAGTTTAAAAGGGACACCGAGAGACGTATTAACAACAATTGTTCTGTTTTGAGGGGTCATTCTTACCTTTTTTTGCCTTTATTGGTTTTGGAAACTAAGACTGTGAGGTTAGAGAATGCAGACTGTTTTCATTTTAGAACAACATCCTTTATCTGACGTTCTGGTTAAATTGTCATAGTTTCAAGATTCACTCTTGTCTCCCGCATGGGGTTGGTTGTTTTTTTTTTTCAGAAGATCAAGCGGTCTTTACCAGACAAGATAGTAGTCGGAATGAGAAAGAGATTTCACAAGTGACTCATGAGAGTGAGCCAGATTCAGGATCTCAGCCTCGTCCTGCTGTTTCCTCGGGCTATTCTAAACAGTTCCAGAAGTCATTACCACCAAGATTTCAGAGGCAACAGGTAACTAACCTGTTCATTAAAAGAAGGAAGCTCATTAAAAGAATGATGTCTTCTGTCTCATTCTGAATAAGAACATGACCATAGGAGTTCCAAAAAGCATAAGTTGTTGGTTCCCAGCTTCTCTAACATCTGTGGTATTGGCAGGAATTGCTCTGCATGGAACACTTCTTGTCACTTGCAGTGTAAGTGAGCAGAAGGCAAGAGAGGCTCTTAAAACTGGCTGTTTCTTCCATCAGTTGCTGGCAGTAGAGCATTGCCCAGTGGTTGCCTATGGAACCTGGGGTTTGATGATCATTGTTTCTGCAGCTTTTCCTTAAAGGGTATGACACTCACAAATGTAATTTCGATTGGGTCCTATGGTCTGAAGAGCACTTTGCATTAATGACATGCATGAAGCATAGGTTGTTCTGTGTCTCAGCTGAACACCAGCAAAACTGTATCTATTCTAAATTGTCTGGTCTGGTTTTCTCCCTTTTCTCCTAGTTCATCCTGATGCATGTTTGCAATTAACTTTCAGAATGCATAGTGTCCTGGAGATAACTGTATTTGTTGTTTCAAAGGGTTATTTGAATTCTGCTCAAGTTTTCATCTTAACAAAAAGTCTGGTAATACTGTTTTCTGTTATGCAGGAGCAAATGAAACAGCAGCAGTGGCAGCAACAACAGCAAGGTGTCCTTCCACAGTCTGCTCCCTCACAGCCTTCTAGTGGCCCTGTCCCACCTCCCCAGCACAGACCCCTTTACCAGCCCATGCAGCCCCATCCTCAGCATTTAGCTTCAATGGGCTTTGATCCACGGTGGCTTATGATGCAGTCTTACATGGACCCACGAATGATGTCAGGAAGACCTGCAATGGATATGCCTCCTATTCATCCAGGTAAAATCTGGCAGCATTTCTTGACTGTTCAGCTTTCTTGGTTTTGAAATAGAAGTCTTTCCCAAACCACACTATGTATAGTAACAGCGAATGGGTGGGGTTTTTAAAGAAGAAAACTACATTATTTCATTGTTTGAGACAAAATAGATTTTAGTAATACTGGAAAAATGATAGTCATGTGTCAATGTGTATCTTTGACTGTAAAGTAAAATCACAACTTTCACATTATAGGCATGTTAGTGACAGTTAAGGATGTATTCAGAATGTCAGCATAAGCCTTACTTTGTTACAGATATTAAAGCTGGTATCAGTTAGTTTGAACTGAGAAAAATAGCGTATTTACCATTTGTATTTCATTATATGTTAGCACTTGATACCACATGGCTTAGTAAAAAAAGCCATGAAATTTTGTTATTTTTATATTATGTATTAGACTCTAGAGCCTTACTAAATTTGTGCTTTCAGGTTCTTAGCACTAAAAAGTCCTTTTTAATTTGTGGAATGGCCATCTGACTTGCAGTTAGGAAAGCTATTATGCATAAATAATATCAGTCTGACATGTAATGTAATGGAGATACTTGTCCAGCTAATGAGCAAGGGAATGAGTATCCTGAATGAGTGCAAGGAATGAACGGAGGAAATGGCAGGCTAAGCAAAGACAGTGAAAACTGTAGAATTTCTTTTAAATGTTACAACAAAAAAAAAAAAAGGACCCAGTCCTTAACAGAGTACAAAAAAACATGTGTGTACACTCATCTTGCCTTTTACCATTCACATCTTACAGCAGAAACTTCACCCACAAGTTTACAGGTCTACAGACCTGGTTCTTTGCATTATAGTGGAAGCACACAGCTTTTCCTTTTGTTGGTACATAGAGTACTAGTGGTGAATATGATTTAGCCATTCTGAGGTTAAATGGCAGTGAATAGACATTTGGTTTCAACAGCAGAAGGTACAGTGGAAAGGAGATCGGAGGAGAGAGAATAGTGTTCTTCAGTACCTCCTGATATGCTTTGTTAGTCTTGAGGTAGGTTTCTTTGCTAATGTTAAACTCGTTTTAATTGTTGAACTTGCATCTGGCGCAGGAATTATGCCTCCCAAACCACTGATGAGAAGAGACCAGATAGAGGGGTCGGCAACCAGTTCAGATTCATTTGAACATATAGCTCGCTCAGCAAGAGAGCACACTGTTCCTTTGTCAGAGCCCCGCATGATGTGGGGGTCGGATCCATACCCCCATGCAGAACCTCAGCAATCTAGTTCTCCTCCCAAAGTGTTAGAAGAGCCTGACGATTTGAGGTAAGCCTGAGTGATGTACTCCTTCGTGTCACTTCTCCAAGCCTTGCATATTTACACACTTGGCTGTGTAACTTACATGGCAAAACACAGTTTAAGCTGACTGAGTTATAGCTGCTCTTCACACAGAACTTTAAAAGGACTTGTGACTGGGCGATCCCATGTAGTTGGCACTGTTCTATAAAACAAAAGACATGCCTGCTCTGTAGTAAGGTGTAGAAAGACAATTTACCCCTTGTTTAGGATCCTTAACATAATTTGATGAATGGTGATTGCCATAATATTTTGAATTTTCAGTTTTGTAGAACAGTCCTACAGTGTTGTCCTGCTCTCTATCCTCCCCATATCAGAGAACTTCTGTCTGATGTACTTAACATACCACTTTTGAAACTCATATACAAGTGGTATAAAGCAAGACAGTCACTTTTGACCTTTGCTGCATGATGAATGGTCACGAAGGCTTCCTCTACATCTTAAAAGTACCCCAAAATTCTTTTTGCTCTACTGCTGTCTGGGTAATACTTGTGACATTAGCCTGCTAACTTGGGGGTTCCATTTAAAATGGTATGTGTAGCCATTAACAGTAATAAATTCCTATAGCTAATTGTACTTTGACACTGAACTCTTAATCAGGATAGAATAAAATTGACCTCTACAACTAGCAGCCACTATGAAATTAATACTTGTTATTTCCTAGAACTGACATTAATCCTTCATAGAAATAGAAGATTATTTGATTTAAGTAAATATTTATGAGTAAAAATTTTTCCCCCCACCCTAACATTCTTAATTGCTTGCTGCTTAGGTCTGAGGCACACTTGGAGCAAGAACGAGTTGCTGTCCCTGCTGCTGCTTATCCTGTAGAACACAACCAGTTGGACTCTCATCCAAAGACAGACTTTTTCAGAGAATCAGGAGAGGTGGAGGTACAAAAGTTCCCAAGCAGGCCTTTGGAAGATGTACAACCTCTCCAAACTGACACACCTAACACAGCAGTTAATTTTGAAGGAGTGAATGAGAAAGTCACACATAGCTCTCCAGAAGAGTTGGTGTCTGTGGGGGAAAGTCACTCTTCACTAAAGAGAAGCATTTCCCATGGTTCAAGTCACTCTCTAAAATCAGAAGATCAGAGGAATGAGACAGCAACAAATATCCCTAAATTAAATAACAGGCCTGTTGAGACAAAGGAGACAATTGAGAGACTTGAGATTAAGCCAAAAAAAGATATTTTGATCAATAATAGAACATCAGAAGGACCAAAACCTGAAAAAACTTTCAAACCTAAGTCTGAAACAAGATGGGGTCCTAGGCCAGGTTATGGCAGGAGAGATGAAGGCAGTGATAGACCAGTAAGAAGATCAGGTCCTATTAAAAAACCTGTGCTTAGAGATATGAAGGAAGAGCGTGAACAGAGAGAAGAGCGTGAGCAGAGGAAGGAGAAAGAAGGAGAAAAGACAGCTAGTGAAAAACCTAGCAAGTCTGAAAAAAGTGACAAAAAGGAAGCACCTCAAGTGCCACTGCCTCAGGCTGAGCTAGAGACATCCGCCGCCAGCAGCGCTCTGGCTAAGAAGATAACCCAGGATGCTGCTCCAACGCCAGCAAGCCAGGAGAGCAGTCAAACTGAGACTGCAGCTAAAGCTCTGGTTCAGCCACCCACACCTCCAGTCCAGCAGCAGCTGCCAGCTGCCCAGCCTGCTGCTCCGCAGCTTCCCCCTGCAGTACAGCAGCAGCCACCTGCTCAACCAGCAGCACAGCAGCAGCCACATGTTCAGCAGCCAGCTACTGCAGTGAAGGAAGAGAAGCAGACTGAGAAGGGAGTTAGCAAAGAGGTTGTAGAGAAACCACGCTTAGAAACCAGACCAGTAAAAAGAGAGCCTGGATTACCACCTAGGACGTACTGGAAAGAGGCTAGGGATAGAGACTGGTTCCCAGATCAGGGATACAGAGGCAGAGGTCGTGGGGAGTATTATTCTAGAGGTCGTAGCTACAGGGGTTCTTACGGAGGACGTGGTCGGGGCAGTAGAGGCCATAATAGAGAGTACCCACACTACAGAGATCCTAAGCCTAGATCAGACCACGTGCCTTCAGGGCCTGTTAGGCAAAGAGAAGAGAGTGAAACTCGCAGTGAGAGTTCTGATTTTGAAGTGATCCCAAAACGACGGCGACAGCATGGTTCAGAGACAGATTCTGACAGTGAAGTTCATGAAAGCGCTAGTGACACGCTGCTGTCAGACAAAGAAAGTCTAATCAAAGGCAAGCACCCAAAAAGAGAAGAAAGAGCTGATGGCAAGAAGCCTCCAAAGCCCCTGTCGTTCAAACCTGAAAACAATATCAGGGTAGACAACAGATCCCTAGAAAAAACATACATAAGAGATGATGAGAACAAACCCAAACCAGGATTTCTTCCTAAAGGAGAGCCTTCTAGGCGAGGCAGAGGAGGAATGTATAGACGTGGTGGCAGAGATCCTGGTGGGCGTCCTCCACGTCCATCCACAATAAGGAGACCAGCCTACAGAGACAATCAGTGGAACCCTAGGCAAACAGAGATCATTAAACCAGAAGATGGGGAGCCTCCGAGAAGAAATGAACATTATGGTCCTATACCAGTTGATAAAAGACCTCCAAAATTTGAGAGAAAGTTTGATCCAAATAGAGAGAGGCCAAGAAGACAAAGACCTGCTCGGCCTCCAAGGCAAGATAAGCCACCACGTTTTAGGCGCCTAAAAGAAAGAGAGGCCGCATCAAAGATAAATGAGGTGGTAGCCAGCTCATCAACAAGTGCCACAGTTAGTAATGCAGTTAATGAGCCCTCCAACACTGCTCTGGATGTGTCAGGAAGTAAGACACCAGACTTGTCAAACCAGAATTCTTCAGACCAGGCCAATGAAGAGTGGGAAACAGCCTCAGAAAGCAGTGACTTCAATGAGAGGCGGGAGAGGGATGAGAAGAAAACAGCAGACATAGCAGCACAGGTGGTTGCAAAGGCAGGAGAAAACACTGGAGCTCCAAAAAGGGAAATAGCCAAGAGAAGTTTCTCTAGTCAGCGGCCTGGAATAGACCGTCAAAACCGACGTGGCAACAATGGGCCAGCTAAACCAGGGAGGAACTTCTCAGGGCCTAGGAGTGACAGGCGGAGTGGTCCTCCACCCAGAAGTGGAAAAAGAGGGTGAGTACCAGCTTCTGTTAGGAAGCACCCATGGTCATGGTCTTCTGTTGTCCTCTTGTGGTTCAAAATCATAAGTAGTTATTTTAGATTTGTAAAATGGTAGAAAAGAGAGTAGGACAAACACATGCACCTGTGGCTGCATACTTCCTATATTGTCTGTATACAGACACTTGGAACATGGAGCTAAAAGCAGAGTATTCTTGTTTGCACAGTGTTAAAAATACCCAATTAAAAAAAATTGCAGTGCTGTTTCTGAGTCAAACCATGTTTCTCAAGATTTGGATGCAAGCTGAAATGTTAATGTGAGCAGGTTTGCAGTTAATACGTAAATTGCTGCATTGCATTTTAGATCGATCACCTAACATAGAAAAGTGTGTTGAGACATGCTTGCCATTGAAACTAAACTTTGTTTCTCTATATGCTAAATTTGATTGAAACTTGATAATTATTTAATGTTACTATTTGCCCACTGTTTCATAGCCACAGTGCACAGTAGTCTGATAAGTGGGAGGCAGGACAAGACATGTCTTCATTGAATGCCTACCCTGTACTCTAGGACTCTTATCCTTGTAGGCTGCGATATTCTAAGTTCATGTTTTGCCTGGGCTTAAACTTGTGATCAGTGCTTTAACCTCTGAGTTAAAACTATTAAGAATTCTTTTGGCTAGTCACTTAACAGTGATGTTGAAACAAAAATTGGGTATTCCAGGTTCCACAGCAAAGTCTGAATGCTGCAAATCTGACTCTTATGGCTTCGGATAGCTTTTGGCAAGTGAGCCTGTGGAGCAAGTATATTGTACCTTGTTTATATTTGCTCACATTGCATCCTGTAAGCTTCTGTTTGGTTTGGTTTTGGGTTTTTTCCCATGGAGGGCTTTACTGCCGTTGAAGCATACTGAACTGCATACTTGTTGAGTTTTGGTACCTCTAACTACATAGACCAAGCCAGAGGTGACCATAAAATTATGCCCTTTTTTTTCTGCAGTTCCTTTTGGCAGCAGGGCGTTTGATATGTCCTCAAAACAGCTTTTACTGTTAAGCTTCTTCTCACTGAGGAGCTGAAAGTAAGAGTCTGGAGCCTGCTAAGAAGTTGCACAGTAGACACTTAAAGACCTGTAATGGGATCTGCATTATGTTGTTAGCTCCTTCCTGAGTGTTCTCTGTGGCTGGTCATTAATTTTCTCAATTTTTTTCTAATATAGACCATTTGAAGAGCAGACAGCAACTGTGCCTGGTGTTGATCCCACCAACAGCAACTCTATACATCAGGAGGATGGAGGTGTTACTGCTACAGGACAAAAGAGCGCCAAGGATGCAAGTGGCAAAAAGAGAGAAGAACCTAAGGGTGGTCCAAAGAAGCCTAAGGAAAAAGTGGATGCCTTGTCTCAATTTGATCTTAATAATTATGCAAGTATGTATTGATAATATGCTAACAAGAATTTGTAGTCTTGCTGGCTTTGCTGCATATAGAGCTAGATGTTTGAAAACTTAAAAAAGGAGTGGTGATTTTTTTTTTTAAACACCAGAATAATTGTGTACTTGGGTATTGCTACCTTTGTCATATCTAATTAACGATGTGTGTGCCTCTAAAAGGTGACAAATCTCATGTGTGTTTTTATGTATAGATAAGAACAATTTTGTTCTATCATCTCATCTTAGCTCTGTTGTTCATGCCATTTTCCACCACACTAATAATTTGCTTAACCTTCATAAGCAAAGGCAGTGGCTATCACTGATAAGCTTACAGCTAATATCTGGGAAGGCTGTTCATTATTCATTACTATGTTTTGGTTCTTATTTCCTGGAGAGTCTGGTACAGGAACCTCCAATTTGTCAGTTCTTAAAGATTAACTCCTGTCAACAGCAAAGCACTTGGCAAGCAGAAGCTTACCTTTAATCAGGGCCGCTGTCTGTTGGGAAGTAGCTTCCACTCTAAAGCAGATTTTGGCTTGGTGCGCTGCATCTTAAGCTGTTAAAACAGCAGCATCTATACCTTTCCTTTTTCTATAGGTGTTGTGATCATTGATGATCACCCTGAAGTGACAGTAGTTGAAGACTCCCAATCTAACTTGAATGATGATGGTTTCACAGAAGTGGTGTCTAAGAAGCAACAAAAACGCTTGCAAGATGAGGAGCGCAGAAAGAAGGAAGAACAAACAGTGCAGGTACTAAACCAGCATTTGTAGTGGGAAAGAGCTCCTTGTGGTACTGGGAATGTTGTGAAGTGTGCGGGACCTTCCTTCCAAAGCTATATTTTCACCTTATATTTTTAAGTAGATAGTTGTGTTAATATTAAGTTGTTGAGAATCAGTAAATTAAACTAATTTTCGCTTATTCATCTTAGAATTCTGTACTTCCTGATTGGGCACTGTCAGGCAGGTAGAACTGGCGAACTGAAAACACCATTTTTCATGCTTTGATAAAGATTTATACTATTGCTTGAATCAGTTGATTCCAAGAGGCAAACAGATGAGAGATCATTGTTCCTGTGGTTAAATACCCCTAAAAAAATAAACTTATTTAATGACAGAGTTAATCAGTCTGCTTTTTGCTGCTACACAATGTACAATTGGTGTCCATACAGACTATCAGCTGTAAGAATAAAATTGGCTTCTGCTTACAGGTTTGGACCAAAAAAGGATCAAGCGAAAAAGGCCGAGGTCAGAATTCCAAGCTCCCACCCAGATTTGCCAAAAAGCAGCAGCAACAGGCAGCAGCTGCAGCTGCACAGCAGGCACAAGCTCAGGCACAAGCTCAGGCACAGCCTCCGTGTACCGCACAGACTCCAGGTCAGCCACAGGCTTCTGTTCAGCCACAAAACCAGGCTGCAGGAGGGACAGCCGGCACAGAATACACAGTGACAGGAAAAGTTCTGCAAAACACCCAGGCTCACAACGGTCTAGGAACTGAATTATGGGAAAACAAGGTGCCTCCTACAGCAGTTCTAAATGACATCTCCAAAAAATGTAAGTGGTGTCTTTTGGATTTGGAGCAGGGGCAAGCATTGTAGTTAGAGAATGCCGACTGCCAGCGCTAGCTTTCTCTCTTAATGTCTCATTTCTACCTACAAATGTATTTTGCATGGGAAGTAGAGGGCAGCATTCCCAAGTGCAGCCTTGTATCCTATGAATATGTAGGAAAAGAGATTTTTGCAGTATGGTATTACTCAGTATTTTACATTGTTGTCGTGTTCTTCATTCACTGTGAATGAGCAGCTGTCACTCCCTTCAGGAATCTGTGTTTTGTCGGTCTTGATCATCTTTCCAAATGATGATTGCCCGACTTGAAAGTAGCTAAATAGGTAGTATATTGTTAACTGCTGAATAGGTTAACAATTTCTTAACCAAAGCTTATTTAATCAAGATGTCTATAATTTAATTCTCAGTCAACTGATAACTTCAATTGAATGCATTAGCAACATTGCACGGCGGGGTTTAACTCTCTTTTCTTAATTGTCAGTGGGACCCATTAGCCCACCTCAGCCACCTTCGGTCAGCGCTTGGAACAAGCCTTTGACATCTTTTGGTTCAGCTACATCTCCAGAGGTAAGAATAAAGGGAAGAAGAGTAGCTGTATGTGAAGCTTACCCAAACTATGTTGAATTGGAATTGGGTACAGATTATCCATTTATTCAGGTGTGCATGTACTTTAAACTAGTATGTGTAGAATCCCATGAAGTCAGGAGATAGTACAGAAACATAGGATACAGGCTAGTGCTTTTATGATTGCAGGATGGAAAAACTGTTCTCTTAATAAAAACTCAGCCGTTCACAGATTCTATTGAATCTTACTCTTCTATTGATTCTATTGAAGCTCTTTCTCAGTGCATTTTTTAAGTAAAAATATTGCCTAGTTTGCATGTGAACACTCATGTACAGTTCAGTAATGTAGACAGAAACAGGATGTCTCCAAGGAACTAAATGTTTTTTGTGTCCCTTCTTAAATCAGAGATACAAAAAGCAGTAGATGCTTTGTAACTGTATCATCTCTGCTTATCCCATGGAATTTGCATAGCCCTAAATTTTACATTTGAAGTCCTGTGGTGTTTTTTTCTTGGGCTTTTTTGGTCTTGACTTTGTTTTAAACTGTAAGAATGTGACATGACTCTCTTAGGAGGCAATTTTAACTGCATAAGGATATCTGGAAATCTTTTTTAATTTCTCATTGTTCCTCTTGAATTGAACATTAATTTTTGAACTTTCAGGAAAATGTTGTGAACCTGAATGTGGACATTTTGATATTGCACTTGTCCCTCTCCCCCTTCTCTAGCAGTTCATCATCTTGATGTTGTTTACATACTTCTTCACTGTTTTTGTTTTTTTTTCTTACTCTTGAGCTTGTGTCAACAATAGGAACTTAAGGGGGAGGAAGTGCACATTCATATATTGTTTACTCTTGCAAATCTGTTGTGGTCACAAATAATGCTTTTGCTGGCAGAAGGTAAACATACCCTTTTAGTGGTTTTCAGCTGAGGATATTCTGTGCCCTTTTCTGAATTAGTGGCATTGTACCAATCTAGAAATCTTTTGAAATGCATTAAATGTTTACCTTTTAACTAGGGGACAAAGCCTGGGCAGGAAGGTGGAGTCGATCTTGGTATAGAAACTATTCAGTTTGGAGCCCCAGCTTCCAGTGGCAGTGACAATGAAGTTGGCCCTGTACTTTCTGAGAAGTCTGCTGACAAGCTGCCAGAACCAAAAGAGCAAAGACAGAAACAGCCTCGGGCTGGACCCATCAAAGCACAAAAGGTAAAAGATCGTATCTTCAGTACAGACTTTTAAACTTAAAGAAGTTCAGCCAAAAAGAGGTTACAAATAATGGAATAGAATACTCATTCAGTTAGGGCTAGACCTATAAATATTTCATTCACCTTTTATATTTCTTAAAACAATCAACAAGTTGGTTCTTGGAGAGAAGATGGGGAATTCAGTTCAAGGAGCAAGTGTAAATAAACAGCTTCCTGGCCCAGCAGAGTTTATCCATTGGTTCTGTGTTTGGAACAAGGGATGTTGCTAGAGCGGGGGTGGGATTATGGATTTGCGATAGCTTTTTGGGGAGACTATGGATGTGGTAGAGTGTTTTGGGTTTGTTTTTTAGTTTGGGGTTTTGGGTTCTCTCTTGAGCTTACTTCACTCAGACTTTGAGAGCTGTTTTGAAACAGGCATTCTGTTTCTGCCCTGGCTGTATTTCCAGTTTCAGTAGTTTTTCCTGCCACCATGCCTGCCTTGCCCTCCTCTAAATGATGCGTGGTACCCTGCTTAATTTTGTAGCCAGATTACCAAGATGAGTAATACATCAAGTAGCAGGAAAAAAGGGAGGAATGTTAGAGCCACTGATTTAAAGTCTCAAATTCAAATGCACAGATGTCTGGATAATTAATTTTTTTACAACTGATCTAGGAAGACTGGATAGGTAATCAAACTTACCTCTATTTAAAGTGTATTGGTTGCCCTCCAGCGATTTAAGGGCTCCATTTGATTATCATCTTTTTGTATTTCTGTTGTTACCACTCATAAGGAGTAACACTTTCTCCTCCTGTCATTTAGATTACATTTAGTGATCTTTCACATTAATGAAAGGTACTTTGCTCTTATTTCTACCTCCAGTGCTTACTTATCTGTGCATTGCTAGCGCTCAGCACCAGCTTCTTACTCCCAGAAAGAGATGGTTATAGCAGATAAACATGGCTGGTGACTTAGAGAACCAGCTGTTTCAGTCCCTCTTGATGTCTGAGATTTGGCAGCAGTCCTGATGTAATTACAAACCTTTTGTCTTTCTAGAAGAGTGGGTGTGTGTTTGTTTGTGTTGGTTGTGTTTGTGTTGGGTTTTGGTTTTTTTTCAAAAAAAAAAAAGCTGAAATCTGAAGGTGCAGTCACATGTAGAATGAATTTAACTTCTGCTACATGAGGCACTGAGTGTGCTGCAGTTCATGGGTTTTATTGCAAAATATAAAACCCATACAGCAGAGAAATATGCAGTAGTTAATACTGCTGGTGAATTGTTGTAACCCAGCACATTCAAAACCCGTATCTCTGATATACTAGCAGCAGGCCTAAAATTGCCCCCATGAAATCACTTAAAGATACTGAACTCTAAAGTTAAATAGAGAGAGAGAAAGAGTCTACTTTATACTGTGTAGAAAATTCCTTTTTTCTGCTTGGTTATAGCTATCAAGACTCCTGTAGATTTTGTTGAAAGACAAATGTGTGACTAAAAGGTAAATGCATTGGAGATTGACATTTTTGTGTACTCTTCTGAATGAGAGGGCTGTAATCCTTTAACTGTCTTAATGACAAAAAAAACCCCAACAAACAAACAAACAATTCCTACACACCCACCATGCCCATGGTGATATTGTTTGCTATGAAGTCTAAATACAAACTTATGTTCAGGATTGGAGGTTAGTATTGTTGAACTAATATGGGCAATGTAAGAGGAACATACTTGAAACAAAGCAATTTACCTTTCCAAGTGTGACCTTAAAGTGTCTGGAGGAATTTCTGCCTCTGTAAACTGTTAGAGCAAAAAATATTTGGGGTGAGGTGTGGCTGATGTTCCTGATTGCTGCATTGCAGAGCTCAGGTATCTGCTTCTACTGTTTTCTTTCTTCCCTCTGAAAGCTAGTCTCTGCTGGCCTCCTGAGGGTACCAGATACCTTTGGGAAACTCCACTCTCGCCAAAAGCATTGTATTGTAAAGAGTCTTCATCTACTCCTGAAACAGCTGGTTTATATTTATAGAGACAATACCAGAAGCTTCTGTCTTTCCACTATCAAAGCTTAAGGAATAGGATTTTAAGGACTGCCTTTAAGGAATTACTGTGCTGCTCTGTAGTGAAATGGGCTGAGTAGTCTCAGCCAGAAAGGATATGGCTATTTAAACAGCAGAGCATTCAAGTTCCCCGAGGGTGTCTGCAATATAAGGCAGCACTTCCACAAAGGTTTTTATTTTTTCTGGATATCCCCTTAGTGCTCAATTCCTAGGGAAGAATGCTGCCAACATCCATACATGGAGATACCTTCAAATGAAGGTAGAGTCTTCTGTTTCCTGGGGCCCTGAATATTAATCCTGATTAATATTATTATTTATTATGAATATTAAAATCCTGATTCTCTGAATATTAAAATAACCTGTATGTATATGAAGTCTTGTGGCTTCTATACTTTTTTTCTGCTTTTCTTGTAAGGAGAGTCAAGCTGGCTTTCTTCTGTAGATTTTAACTAGATCTTATTTTAGTTGAACTCTACCACTTAACATAAAAAATGTATTTCTTGAAAACAACAGTTTGGATTCCTAGTGTTTAAAATGAATGCATTTCATGTATGTATTGCTAACTTAGTCTCAAATTATTTATCTGTTAGAAAATGCTTGCCCTTCAGGAAAGTTTTTTTAGATTTAAACAAAATTATTTTAAGCATGTTAGAATATTCTTGTGGGATAGGACATGGGGGGGAAGACATAACTGACAAGTTAACACTAACTTAGCTTCCAGACTTGAGTCCGGTAGAAAACAAAGAGTATAAACCTGGTCCTATTGGGAAAGAACGGTCTTTAAAGAACAGGAAGGTGAAGGATGCCCAACAGGGAGATCCTGAAGCACAGGAGAAGCCATCTCCCACCTCTGTCAGAAGTCCAGAACCTGTCACTACAAAGGAAACCAAAGCAGCAAGTGAACTGAGCACAGAAATAGGAACAATGATATCTGTGTCTGCTCCAGAGTTTGGAACAAACACAAAGGTAAGAAAAATACTGATAAATTACTGAGCACTATATGTAAAACATGATTACAATGATGTAATTGACACTTGGTTGCCTGATGGTGGTAGTTACCTGGACCGCAGAGCCCACTGAATAACAGATATGAAACATATCAGTCCTGCTTGAATTAAACAGTTCTCCAGAAATGGTACGGAGACACGCTGTTTGTCATACCCCTGTACAGAGATCAGCTTGGAAGATTTTAAACTTCTTTGCTGCCTTATGAATGTGAAAACTCTTTCCTGAGCCTTGCTGTGGAGAGTGGCACTGGAGCCTGGTATAGGCAGATTCTGCAAACTCAGATATATGTGACATATGTGAGATGAGTGCTTGACTTTCAGCAGAGAACTGAAGTAGTGTGTGCGATCATTGGCTGAGTGCATGGATGACCTGAAGCTGTGAATTAAGTGCTGTTCTGTGAAAAAAGAAATCTCTAAACTAGGAATATGCTAAAGCATTGGATAAGACTTGTTCAGTTTATCTAAAGGGTCTGTATGTCAGCTCCTGTTGGCTTGGATATTGTCAAGATATCCCTTGCAGAACTCCTTCAGGATGTTGAGGACTCATCATAGTTGTCTGCATGGAACTCCCCTGACTTCTTTATAACTGCTCAACAGTGAGATGGTGACCTGCTGGCAGGATTCATTGTTCTACAACTCAGTTCTTAGCTGTGGTACATTGATAGCACCGGTTGAAAAACATTCACAGAGGCGCTCTCCTTTCTGCCTAAGGACCTGTGTGTGTACTGCCCTCACTATGGCAGTGTTGTGTCTTGAGCAAGAACTATGGTTGTTACCTCTCAAATGTAAAGAAACCATGCAGCTTGAGTAGCTACTAGTTAATAGTTACACCTGCTTTCGTAAAGGAAAAATGCTTCTTGTGCATTTGTAAGGTGGTTTTATGAGTTTAGACTCAATTTTGTTGCATGCTGTCCCAATTTGCCTTTTCCTAGTCTTAAGCAGAAATTTTCTGATGCCATTTAGGAAAAATGATCCTCTGCAGGAGTTACATAAGTTGCTGAAGAGTCTGAAATGCAGATCACTCACAATTTATCTTTGTCACCTGCAATTGGCAAAAGAAAAAAAGACCATTTTGGCAGTTTATTGCTGAGGTGTCATGCAAGCAGAAGATGCTATCTCAGTGAAGTCTTATTACAGAGCAAGCGTTAAGGAGGATATTTGTGTCTGACATAGTAGCTGCAAACTTGAGTTTTTGAGTGGAAGGGCAAATACATAAGGAAATTCGGTGCTGGGATTTCTCATCCTTGCTGGCAGTTTCCATCTTGCATGTGGATGTGAATGGTTTATGTTGATACCAGAAACGGTTAAAGTTCCCTTCTGGTATGCAGAATCAGAAGTGTAGAGGCATAAACACCAGCTTGCTCAAATATTTTTAAGAAGGCTGTTTGTATGTGTGTCACATGCTTTCTCACTGTCTGTCAAGCTCCTGTGACCAGAGCTCAAGATAAGAGGAGGCACTTCTTCTAAGCCACCTACAGAATAGGAAACATATCTTTGTTGATTACTCCAGGCTAACTCAATATGGACTAGCTCTACTAAAATCAGTGTAATTTTGTCTCTACAACTGTATTTTTAAAGTATGAGATCTTCAAAAGGGGAGTCTGAATTTTGTGCCTTTATGGCCTTACTTAAACATGGGTTGCCAAGGTTCTTTGAAGTATCACAGTATTAAAGCACAAAGCTTCTGTCTTCTGGAGGGAAGACCAGAGTGAAAGGAAACTTTCCAGTTGTGCTGGATATGAAAATTCCCCATAGTTTCCTCATTAAGTGGTTGATAACAGAGGCATTTAATAATTGGCCTAAATATTTCTGTCTCAACAGTTCCAGGTTGCTTTTGAATTCCTTTGTCATGAGTAGTTCCCGTGGCATCAGTAAATTTTCTAGGAAAGGGGCGGTCATATTTTATATTTAATTCTCTGGAAGTTGAACCAACAACCTGCAGATTTATTGGAGAGGATAAGCTTCATCTAGATTTTGCAGGAATAAACCAGTCTTGCTACTTTTTAAAGTGGCTTTTAAAATGTCTTCAAATACTGCTCCAGCCCTGGAGTTCCTATGCTGTTTTGTATTGCAACTGTTTTCTTCTTGTCTTTGTACTCTTTCCATTGCTCATTAGTGAGGAAAGAAGTGATGACATCGTTATTCTGTTGTGTGAATGTCAGATGTTGAAATTTTACCAAATGTAAATGATTTTGACACTCTTTAATGTCCTTCTCAGACACTACTACTCAGCTTCCAGGAAGGCACACTTTGTTTAGTGTATTTCATGATTTAAATGTTTGTAAAAGTCAAGCCAGCTGTCCTCCTTCAGAAGCAGAAGCTCTGTAACGAGTACCCCATCCATCCCAAAACAAACATCTTTGTAAGAGCATGTGCATTTAATCATACAAGACTGTTTTACCTTAGAAACTGTATAAATATAAATCAATTCATACGGGTGAGATGTTTAAATTCAGAACATAAGCATGATGCTCTGAAGCAACTGCAGCTGTTTCTCTTGGGTTTTGCAGTATTTTTGGAATAAAGGTGATCTGATGGTGTAAGTCTGAGTTGGGCAAGACACCTTACCCATTGCTTTTCCCCACCCTACCATCTCTAAAGCTTTGAAGCTTTCAAATCACAGGAACGATCAATAACTGGTTATAGACATGGCAATGAAATGTTTGCACAGGTAGTTGATAACACCTGCGTGCTACAGAGCTGATGTCTGAAAGGACACAGTCTGTACTTGAGAATAAATTTTCAGTATCTGACAAGCTCTCTGGTTTGAGTGATTTACGTAAATCAGGAACAAATCAAATAACTAATGAATCCCATATGTACCCTGATTCTTTATGGCAAGGTCAACTCTGAGGTCTGCCTTGTCCTTTTGTTCATAAAGTCACTTCAGGTTTTGTGATCTCTTCTTTTTGGGCAAAGAAGGTAGTTATAAAAAGTTTGCCTGTTCTTTTTCTTCAGGTATAAATAACTTGTAGATAACTCCAAAAAAGCATGTACAGCTTTTTGCTCTTGCTATAATTACTATTACTAGTTTATTATAAAGTAATCAGTTGGTTTCTTCAGTAAAACAGTTGCACAGGAGAATCACTTTAATTGAATTACAAAAGCTTCTGGTGATAAGACATATCTAACAGAGATTCCTAGTCTTAATGTACCAGTAAATGAAGGATGGTGGTTAACCTACAGTTTATGGAGTGGTGTTCTTACAGCTAAAGCATTGTCTTATCTGCATGTTCAGCATGTAACTCATCCTTGTAGGATGGTTCAGCATTGCGTATGTACTTCTAAGGGCACCAGACTTGATATAGTGGGGTTTTTTTAATTCTAGTGAAAAAGCATTTTTGTGCTGTGAGTTTCCGAAGTGAGAAAGCTAGCGATAGTCTTGATCTAATTTCTTTTGTAAGGAATTTTAGTGCTGAGACCCTGTAAAATTTGCATCCAAACCTTGAAGGAACTTTAATAATGTTATATCCTCTTTCTTAATGCAGTAAAGCATCTTAGAAAACCAAGAAGCCAGTTAATTACTTCATTCGAAGGACATTGTGATTAAAGCAGCCTCGTGTGCTTGCCTTGTTCTACCTTGGGTTAAGGTTACCTATTGGAATCAAATATAAATGCGCAACTTGCAGTTTGGTAGTTCAGATTGTGGGAAACGTATATCTCATATTTCACCAGTTTAACAAGTAAAGGAAATAACTAAATGGAGAAAATAGTTCTCTCTGTTTCCTTCGTAAATACAAAAATAAGTCGATGTGCACATTGTGTCCTCTCTCTCCTCATTATGGTTTAGCTTGTTGTCCTAGTCTTTTACCAAAATGAGCTCATCTTTTTAAGGAAGATTCTTTGTTATTTGCCAGTTAGTATCTTAATGCTTTAATTGCTCTTTTAGGAGACATTGCCATAGGCTTGAGGAGTTCATTGAGTGTGCACTTTTTTTAATAGCTTATCATCATACCAGTTAGATGCAATTAAACAAGCATTATGTGGTTTGTGCCTTCAAAATCATTGTGTTGGCAAGTCCAGGCACTCATCAACAGTTCTGTTGCTAATCTGTCCTTCAGTTCATTCTTGGTGTTGGGTTCCGTAAAAATGATAGAGCCTTTTCTGGGCTTCAGACACGTAAAACTTTGGAGTTTGCAGTGCTTGCTGGAGAGTGGATCTTGGGTAATTCAGGGTCACACCTCTGGGTCAGGTTCTGATAACGCCTGTTTGCCTGTCCAGAATATGCTCAGTAGATACCCAGTGACAAGAACTAAAAAACAGTGCTGAACATGGCTTCACAGAAGTACTAGTGTCTTTTTTTGTTCATTGCAGGTTATTCTCTAGAGAGCTGGCAGTGTTATCAATGGGACACTTCCATCAGGCAATTTATACCTGCAACTGCAATAGTCATTGGCTACAGTTAGGTCCATGAAAGTGGACTTTGTTCATTGAACACATTACAGTCCACTTAACTGTGACAAATGAGCTTCAAGGAAAGCCTCTGGGTAGATTGGAAACTTCATTCCTTTTCTTCCTTGAAATAACTGCCCAGTGCAGAAATCGGGACGTAGGCTTCATCATCCAGAGAAACTGAGTCGTGTGACTTTCAGAGACAAGACTTAAAGGAAAGAAAATTGTTTTGCAAATTGCAACCATCCCTATGTGTTCTTTTTAATCTGGAGGGCCTTACTGGTCATAGATTTACCCAAGAAATTTCTGTATGTATTTAAAGCTACAGAAAGCTTTCAGCTAATACATTTTACTTTTTAAATAGGCTAAAAGTGCCTACAGGTAGCTAAAGCATCTTGGGTGACAAATGATAATTGGTTACACCACCACAGTTCAATATGTCTAGTACCCAGGCAGTACATCACTCTGTATATTCTTGCTTTACAGACTGTATTTTGACTTGTCTCCAGATATACATTGTGAGGTCATGAGGCAAACTGTAATCTCCAAAGAATTCTTCTGACCTCAGTAGCAATTCAGCAGTAAGGATTGCTGGACATGCCTTCCAAGAAAAAACTGATGTGAAATTCTAATCTTCTAGTGCTTGGTGAGCTCCTCCTGTAGAAAGGGTAACATCTGTCCAAGAAATTTAAATCTAATTTAGGTAAGGGAGATATTTTAATGGAATTATTTTTCTTCACAGGAGTCTGTAACAGACTACACTACACCTTCTTCTCATCCTAACACAGTGGCTACTAGCAGTACAAAAATGGAGGAGACTTTGGTGACGAACGTAAGTCTATTGCAGTGATCATTGCAGTGATCGTCTTGACTTTGAAGACAAGAAAATATTTTCACACTTCTTTAAAGCACAAAATAGTGCCTTCAGTAAACAAGTCACTAGGGTTTCTTTCATGTTAACTAGCTGTGCATTATCCAGTAATCTTACTCTGAAGGACATTTGGTTTGATTAGTGTCTGTTCTGGAATTCTTCAGGTATTTTCTTGTCTTTTGAACAACCACAATGAGCTAAAGAGCACAGAAAGTGGAGAAGATGTTTCTAGGGACAATTCTAAAAAAGCAAGAATAGGCATGATGAGGGAATGTGCTCTTGGCAGCAGTTGGGACTTGAACCTGGTACCAGTAGCAAAGCTCTGTAGGTGAGTTTGAAGAAAGGCTTTTACAAACAAAGCAATTTTGAACTCTAGCCTGAAATCACAGCAACTGCATGTAAAGGGAGCAGCTTAATCGTTTCTGAAAGCAGACAGCAGACTTTCAGTTGTTATGGAGATTAGATGTTTGCAGTCCTCAAAGCCAATGATCCTGACTGAGTGTGGTGTAGTGATTGAGAAGACCTGCTGGGTTGTGACTTGTAGCAAAATCAAGTTTGTCTTGAGTGTGCTGGGATGTCAGGGAACTTGGATCTTGTGATTTTTGTTGTTTGAGTAGCAGAAATAGAATTAGTTCAGAGTTGAGTCACTTGTTGATTGGGGGAAGAAAGAATCCTAGTAGGATCTCATGTTTTTATGAAGATGTCTTGTGAATTCCATCTAAGAGATGCTTCTCAGCTTACTGCAGCATCCTTTAATGCAGTTTTGAAGCAATACTGGTTGAACTTACTCTTCTGCTGGATTTTCTGGTGGTGGTATCGTTTGTGCCTTTGGTGGTTAGTGTGAAAGACTGAATCATTTTGTGTTAATGATGTTAGTGTACACTCCCCTGTGGTGTGTTGCAGTTGGATTTCCAACACAGGAAATAGGGGCTCCTGGCCACAAAGGATCTGTGGTATCACCTGCTTCAAAACTTCAGTATCTCTGTCTTTTTGGATTAGCCTTATCTCATCCAGTGGAAGTCCAGGAGCTGTGGTCTGAACGGAGAAAGAAATGGTTAGAAGTAATAGACTGGCCACTGCAGTATTTTTGATGCATTTAATTTGAAACTTCTAGGAAACCCATCAGTGTTTTCTTAGGCAAAGATAGCAATAGCATTATGTCAGGTTTATTTCCTTAAGTTCACAACTTTAATCTTTTGAAAGAGAAGATAACTGAATTCAGTTATAGGATGGCAAATCTGTTTTGGTTTGTTTCATGGTCGTGTGACTTTGGAGATACGTAGCTTCCTCTTTTCAGAAACTGCATCTCAGAACTCAAGGTCATGAAGCCCCATGTACTGTATTGGTACAAAAGGGGACAAACTTGGCTTGGGAAGAATTTTTGCATATCAGTAAACTGAAATGGTACTTTAAAGTAAATCCCAAAGCAGAAAACTGGTATTTGTTTATGCAGAAGACATGGACACTTTAGAACCTTAGTCTTCAGCCTCTTAAAGAGAGATGAGAAGCACCTCAGCACCTGCTGAATGGCCTTTCCCCGCCTACCAAATTTTCACCTGATTTTATCAAAATCTCCCTGCCAATGCTCAAGCCTTGAAGAAATTGTAGCTCACTTAATAAAGCTTGAGCTTTGCTTTTCTGGGGCTTTTGTAGTAGACGTAGTTAGAATGTGATGTGTGTTGCCTGCCTTTCAGGTGCCCCTGCCCCACACCCTTCCCCTCCCTAGGAGGGAGACTCTACAACAGAGCTCCAGCCTAACTCCAGTTTCTCCCGCTACCGTCGACCTCACCCTCAAGGTATGTACAACATCCCTCTAAGGGTCGTTTTCTTGCATGCAGGGGAAAAAGTTAATGGAGAACTTGCTGGTGAACCTTTTTTTTAGAGCCTTCCTTTGTTTCCTCTGCTACACTGCTTTTGCATATAAACGGATGGCTGAAACAAAAGACTCTATCAAAGGATGCATTTAAATTATAAATCTCTAACCCCGTTTTGCATTAACACTTGGCATCTCAACCAATCTTGGCTCCCACCACCCTGAAAAAAAAGATCCTAGCATTTTAGCATTGTACTGTAGTGTTCATGACAAACCATCAGAATCTGACTGAGGTTTTTTGAAAGTTTAGCTTAAAGTAAGTTGCTGGGTTTGGTATTAAAGGCTGTAAGGAGTTGCTTGGTAAGCCGAGCTTGATTTCTTCTTAGCTGTAAGATTTGTTGCAGTGATAATGTGATTTTGAGTTGGATGGCTAAAGTTCTAAATAATGAAATGTAGGTGGTGTGTTGGTGTCTGTGAAGGGCAGTTTGATCAGCTAGTCAGAACGTGTTTTGTTGTGCTATAAATGTTCTGTTGTGTTCTGCTCTCCAGTGTAGAGCAAGTGTGTAGAATATTTTGAATTATGTTTTCTCATTTTGTTGGATTTTGGACTGTGTGCATTGTATAACTCACTAACATAGAGTTGGGCTCTGGCTTTGCTACTGTATCTTTAGAAGTATTTGGTCTTTTTTTTTTTTTTTTTTGGTGTCCTAGATCTGCTCTGTGATTGTGACTACAGGTGACTGAACTAGTAGAAATATTGTTGCTGCTTTTACTATTAAGGAAGAGTGATGTCTTGGTTTCTCTAAATTTTTAAAAGAAGAAATGAAACTAGGGATTGAATGCAGAACTAACACTTTGGAGAAACTCGCTTGTCAATCCCAGTGAGACTTGCGTCTTGCTGGCATGGTTTGACAGCTGCTTGCTCATGTTCTCTACAGATGATAGTTATTAATGATCTCTTGTTGAATCTTTGCTTTTCTTTTGTTAACGCTTTATTTCCTGAAACAAATGTAACATCACTTTAAAACAATAGACCAGCAAAAATGGGGAGAGGGATGGAGAGGGACAAATAATTTAACAAAAATCTGGTTTTCTATTGCATTCTTTTTACATAAGTTGCCATAATCTGACTTTCTGGCGCCCAAAAGCATTTTTCTAAAATAGCAGTCGCTAACTGTTTAGCAGCTGGATACCTGATTCACATGTAATACAGGTAGGAACATTACTGTAGCATGATGCTGCAAAGAATGTGACACTGCTCAGTTACGAAGCAAACTGTGGTGTTTGTGTCATTCATCAGACAGTTTATTTTTCTGCTGTTCTGGTGTTGGTGATTTGATTGCTTTCTCAGTGGATGGTAGATCTTGGATGTGTGCTAACAAAGTATGTTGAAGATCCATGTTTTGAGGCTGCCTTGAAGAACACTGACCAAAGTCTGAATGGAAAGGCATTTGGAAGCAGCTTTGCCTCTAACTTCTCTATTCCAGCCACTGGAGCTCTACCTCCTTTTTGCAAATGCTGAAAGCAACAAGCTTGTTTTGAAGCGTGCACTGAGACTATTGCTTTTACAACAGGCCTTCTGGTCCAGACAGAGCAGAGCTGCTCTTTATGTCATCCTCTTCTATGTAATCCTTCCTTCTTTTAAAAGATACTTTTGGGGCAGCAGAGAGGAACACATTTCCTTCCTTCTCTTAAAAGAACAGAATCTCCAGGCTCTGCCTCCATAATGAATAATCCTTGCACGTCTTCTTTCCTCTGTCCCCTATCACAGAAAGCTGTCTGTGAGGAGGCTCAGCAGGGGAACTCAGCCACAATTGCTTCCACTACTTGGCATCATTCTGAAGGTGTAGGTATAAGGTGCTCAGATGGGAAGGCTTGTTGAGATCTCTTGTTTCCTTGGAGTAACTTTGCTAAAGACACCTTTACTAAGGCAGACATCCTCTTAAGGACTTAGCTGATAGGGCTATTGGTAGGTAAGGAGCTGAGCAAAAGAAAGTCCAAACCAATCTTAAAACTGAACTGCCTGGCTCTCTTCCATGTTCTGAGGTTCTGTCTAAAATTCCTGTGTAGGCATCTGGTCCGGAATCTGACATGTTTCGGCTTTCTTTTCCTCATCACTTAAACTTTGGCATACTTAAGGGTATGCACATTGGTATTTGTCTCCAGTTAAGTTTTTGGGTAATATGTACTGGACCATTATAGCAATGTAAAGGCCCCAATGGGTCAACAGTGAAGAGAGGCCTCAAGCAACCATGATTCCAACTTGTGCTCTCCTTTTCCTGTAACTAAGGGAGCAGTGAAATTACAGTGCTTTCCCGAGCCTCTTACTCCTTCCTATCTGGTCTGTAGATGGTGCTGCATAGGCGCTTCTAGAGTACCAATTTCTCGCATCTTTTTTTCTGGCTTAAGAAGTTAGAGATTGTTAAAGAGCTCTCTAAAAGCAAAGCTGTTAGAAAATTCAGGACTCTGTTATATGCCCTTTATTGCAAATGGGAAAATGGAAGACAAAATGCAGTATGTAGACTAGCTTTTGCTATCAATAGTTTCTCCAGGACATCATGAAACTCACTGAACATAATAGAAGCTTCTACATGTTCTTTAGTCAGACATTCACAGGTACTTCTTCACTTTCTCTTAATACCAATGCAGTACAAGACCGATACCCCGTCATACCAGAGCTTGTGGTGTTCAGAAAGGAGCTTGTAGTCTTATTGTACTCCACCTTAAGCAAAATCCTTTCCAGCAGATTAATAATAAATTTTGAAGTTTGCCCTGTCTGCAGGGAGGAAAATGTTGTGGAGGGGAAATTGAGAATGGTGCTGGGGAAGATGGTCTCAAAAGTGAAAATAGGTGACTTGCTTCCAAACAAGTTAATGTGTAACAAAGTTTCCCTCCTCCCCTTTACTCTCTTGAGGAATACAGAACTCCAGTTTCCATGTGGGTGCGTACTGATCACCTGTTACCCACTTCTTTTGATATTACTTTGCTTTTTTATCACTTCTGAAGCATCTAGACAAATTAACTAAGTCATGTTTGGTCTGCTCAGACTGTGCCTAACTCGTATAAAACTTTCAGAGACTGCAAGTCCCAGTTAGGGGGCTCTGTTGATCCAGGCAGTGAGGTCAGATTTGTTGGTGAGTATGTATTTGCTCCTTTACATATACCATTTAAGACAACACCTGGCCTTGAGAAGCTTACAGTCTGCCAGATGAGCAATTTCAGCCTGTGGCATCCAGCTCTGCTAGCAAAAATCTTTGTTTCAACTTGGGACAGCTGAAGGTTGTAGAGAAGTCCATGGGGTGTGTTTAAGCCTGTAAATTTAGTAAGTGTAGTCTGAACATTAATATTTCCTTTTCCGTAGTCCCTCAAAAGTGTCTCAGTTCAGATTTGGCATTGTGTGTCTAATGTAGTAGTAATTAGATTGTTATTGGGTGCAGTAAAACAATAGTTCTTTCTACTTTTGGTGGAAGATTATTGTGTATAAAATATTTAAATTGACGTTTCATCTTCCTTGCTGTGCAAGACTTAAACTCATAATTATTATAGAAGTAGAGGAGCATGAAGCATTTTTAGCATTAATGTAAAGCAGCGTGCACAAGCTGTGTCAGCTCGTGGTTGCTTCTTGAACAGCTTTTGCTTTGGAAATCTAAACTTGACTACTCTCATATTTACTGAAGAGTGCCTTGGATATTTTTGGTGGTCACTCAAAGTGGATGATTTACCAGGAAAGCAAAGGGATGTTTCATTTAAATGGCCCAATAACTTGTAAGTAAAGGACTTTGTGGAAATATTTAGAGGGGTTTTTACCTTTCTTTTGCTCTTCATGTCAAACAAAACCAAACCAAATTAGTGTGAGTGAATTCTCTTTCGAGCATTGAATGTTAAGATGATGAACTGTGCACGTGTGCAGTTGGAACAGATAAGAAGCTCCAACTTAAGGCTGTATGCTTTTTGCATGAACAAAGTTGCACGATTATGGTGACTTTTAAAAGAGGCTCGCATGAAGCCTGAATTGCCTTTTGAACTAAAAAGAACTGTTAAAAAGAGGAACACTGTTTGACTAGCTGAAACTTCCTAATAGATGAGGAAATTTGTTTTCTTTTAAATAGATGGAGTCTGCACGCAAAGCATGGGAGAATTCCCCAAATATGGGGGAGAAGAGTTCACCAGTGACCTCTGCAGCATCTCCCATTGCTGGTGGCAGCGGCAGTAGCAGCAGCAGCAGCAACACTGGGCCAAGCAGTGGTACTTACAGTTCTTTCTCTAGTGCATCAATGCCTCCTATTCCTGTGGCGTCAGTTACACCGACAACTTCCCTGTCAGGTACCAGATGTCAAGATTGTAGTATCCTGTTGTATTGTTCCTTGGGTATGTTTTTCAAGAGATTAGATTCCCTTTGGAATTACGTTTAATGCAAAGCTAGCAGAAGTTTTATGCTAGTATGAAATGTCGGATCTGAACAGCAGCTTCCCAAACATCTTTTAATTAACAAGGAGATACTTCACCTGTTTCACTTCAGTTAGCTGAAGAGAATATCAAGATGACATCTCTCTGCCTGTGCCACTTACATGGAATTGAAAGAGGAGGTAAACTTCTCATGTTGGCTGCCTTACTGGTTTCATTTTGTTCAGCTGAATGAAGGCAAGCAAGTAGATTTTGGAGCAGATGGTAGTTCTGATTCCAGCTAATTGAAGTCTTACTTTCATTTGTGCTCTGGCTTTTGGTGTCAAAGCTTTGACAGCTCATACCAAAACCCCTTCACCCTAGGCAGAGCAAATGTCCAGCTGCTCTTTACAAACAGTGCTGGTTTCCACCTTGGTTCTTTGCAGCAAACAAAAGATGCTATATCTGGTTAAATCTTCACCCCTTTTAAAGAATGTATGCCCAAATCTCAGCTGAAGTGCTTGAAAAAGACCTTTGGAGCCTGGCTCCCAGCTCTCAACCATGAGAGGCACAACCACTATACATTGCAATATTTTGCTGCATAACTAACCAAGATGTCTACTTCAGTATTTTTATATGCTCCTATACTTGAGGAGGGAGATGTTTTATGGTTGCAGCACTTCCTATAATGAACTTAACAGAATTGGCCTCCCTCTCCATCTTATGTTGATGGAAACAGCTGCATTAGGTTTCAATGTTCTTTTCCAGTTGTGGCTGTGCTTGCATAGCTGTCCCAAAACTTTGACCACTGAAAGATGAGGCTTTGAAATATCTTTAGCTGTTTTATGATGTATCACTTGCTTCTCTCCTTCTAGGAGCTGGAACATACACAACCTCTTCACTGAGTACAAAGACTGCAAGCACCTCAGACCCTCCCAATATATGTAAAGTGAAACCACAGCAGTTGCAGACAAGCAGCCTAGCTTCTGCCAGTCACTTTTCCCAGCTGAGCTGCATGCCATCCCTCATTGCCCAGCAACAGCAAAGTCCCCAGGTCTATGTGTCTCAGTCTGCAGCAGGTAATAGTGTTTGTGGCTGAGAAGCCACATGTCTGCTTTTTTGGAGTTTTGAAGCTGGAGAGTTAAATTCAGTTCTGGTTTTATCTGCAGTAAAGACAGAATGATAGAGAGCATTCTGTAAGCAAATACTCACTAATTGTGTCTTACCCTAAATATGCAAGTTTCTTTCAGTAAGTGTAGAGATAATGCTGTGTTGTTAGCTTGTTGAGGAAAGTAAGTTTGAATCTCTTGATGTACCATTTTTCTGTTGCAGAATTTTAAATCACTATTTAAGACCAAGAATGACTTAGTCTTGACTTCTTTCTTAAAGTGCTACAATACTTTAGAATGATGGCATTTTTCTTTAAAGAAAACCCTACATATAGTTAACCTAAATTACATGACAGTATAGCATGTTCTTCCCCTTCCTTCACCCAAATGCTTCTTTTGGCCAGATCTGTTGCTCATCCCCCAAGAATTGCATGGGACTGAAGATGCATATGCAAGACCAATAGATTCTGGGGGTGAATTGGAAAGGATACCAAAGCTGGTTAGGCACCCAGCTCTTCAGTTCTGTTTCTTCTCCCGGCCTCTCTGGTAGCTGTCACGCTGAGAAGTACTGACAGTAGCTGCATCTTTCACTCTTGATGAAAACCTTTCTAGCAGGGAGATGTTTGGAATCAGGTACTAATTGTATTGCTCTTTCTGAGGTACTGCAGCTCAAATCCCAGCATTTTATATGGATACAAGTCATCTATTCAATACCCAACATGCGCGTTTGGCACCACCTTCTCTGGCCCAACAGCAAGGCTTTCAACCAGGGCTTTCTCAGGTATTTGGGGATTTCTTTTTTCTGTTTTTTTCCCCTCCCTGTCCCTATTGCCTTTAAATCTCTACTAATGGGCTAATGGGGGCAGGGGAGAGTGGGACTAAAGACTGCAAAAATGAGGTCATGCCTGCCCTTGCCATTTCATTCTGGTGCATGCGGGCAGTGTTTGATCTCTACTGTTCCTAAGAGTGAAAGCATTTGTCATGAAAGTTGAGAGAATAAGCTTTCACTCCCAAATATACTTTATGTAAAAGTACATATTCACGGGAGGTGTTTATGTGGCCATTTTAGTGCAGGCTTATTCAACTTTTGTAGTACAAAGTTGTATGCAATCTTGTGCAGTTGTTTTGTACACAAATCTAAATGATTCCGTTTCTGATGGTTATTTGCAATGAAAAGTAAAATTCAACTAGAAAGTAATTTTCTGAATGGGAGCAATAGCACCTCTGCATGCAGCCTTGAGAACTGTTGCTTTTCTATATGACTTTTGTCCTTGGATATTTAATGGTTTCTTTTTTTTAAGCAGCCTGCTTCAGTTCAGCAGATCCCCATCCCCATCTATGCACCTTTGCAAGGACAGCATCAAGCTCAGCTGAGTTTAGGAGCAGCACCAGCTGTTTCACAAGCCCAAGAGTTGTTCAACTCCTCTTTACAACCTTATAGGTAGGTAGCATATGCAAATTTATTTGGTTTTTGAGTGGCAGAATTTATAGGACTTGCTTCTCTGCAGACATGTGTTCTGTGCTCAATAGCTGCCTCATCTTCCTGTCTTCCCCAAAATCTCTTTTGTCTGGCTGAGCAGTGTGTATGTGGACTGTCTGGCTAGTCAGTATGTGCAGATGTAGTTGTGAAATCATGGGTTCAAAAACTATGCATGATATTTGTATCTTTAGGAAACCAGGCTAAAAAGCTGAAAACATCAGTCTTTCATACTAAGAGAACAGAAAGAGAGAAGTCTGTTCCTTTAATTCAGTAATTTGTGTTCGTTATTTTGTAATCAAACCAACATTGGAGTCTTGAAACACTTTGAAATCCTAGATTGAACCCCATAGGTGGTAGAAACTTAATTTCAATGTGTAGGGGATAGCAGGGTATGTTTTAAAATAAATGTTTTCTGTTTGCTACAAAAGGTAATAGGAAGACTAGTATCTCTCAAATAGCACTGATAGCCAGACAAATTTCCACTGTAAGCCTTTTCTAAAGCTTCCTTGCAACTCTTATCAAAACTGACTCACGGTGGTATAATTCTGACAAATTTTATTAGTTTCACTTTGAGAAAGTTTCTCTTGAATTTAGTTACAGGGTTTTGCATGTGCTGTAGAAAAAAAATGCTTGTTGCAATGCAGAAGGGTGAAGCCACAGAAGGTTTAATTTACTACATGTGTAGCCTGACTTTGTGCTTGGCTGACTTTGTTGGACCGAATATTGCTTGTCCTGCCACAGCTGACAAAAATTGTTGCAAACAGTTGGCTAGCTGCAGAAACACAATCAGTCTGGCATGCAGTCCAGATTAAATAAATGTTTCTGGCTGATCTGGTCACGCACAAACCCAGTATTAATGGAGTTTTGGGTTGTGCTATATTTGAGAGTATGAATACTTTTCCCGCATCTTTAAAGGTGCAGAGGAGGATATGCTTTGAGATGTACAGGTTACTGGTTTAAAAACAACAACAACAAAAAAGCTTGTGAAAATGTTTTTGACTACATTGAAGACAGTCCTCTGCATACATTCTGGAAAAGTTCATCTAGTGCTTAGAGTGCAAGTGTAAGAATGTTTTGCAGTTAAGGAAAGGTACAGAACAAAGTTAACCTGGGTGTTCTGTCAGGCAAGCGCATGACCACTATGCTAACAGATTAACGGAGCTGGTGCTATGCTGGTACATATCAACCAAGTGATAAAGGCAAAAGTGTTTCTACATCAAAAACACTCTCCTCTGAGCTGAAGAGCTTCGAGAGGGGCATTTATTTAAAAACTCTGATTCTCCAATCTGAAGGCAGCTGTTTGGCAGGCTCTTAATGGACATGTTTGGATAAATACTTATGATGGACTGAAACAACCTGTCTGTGGTGCTTTGCTCTACTGGTTTTAGTCTTTGTTTTTTAAAGAAACTGCAACTTCCCTATGCTGGTGACAAGGGAATTGAATATGTAGTTAAAATTAAAGGCTGTGGTATCTCTCTGTGTTACTATTTTGAAGCCAAAACATTCATTTGGAAGCTACAGTTGTCAGCATCCAGTGATTTAACCTGTAAGTGTTAAAAGTTGGACTATGGAGATCTGTGAAGTTAAGAGAACAAAGCAGTTTATGACTAAGCGGAACTGCTCACATGCAGTGCTTCCCCACTGTCCTACCTTACAGCACAGGAACTAAGAACTGGTAGCTTCTGTATGTTACAGTTAAGTTATGCAAAAACTATTTTAGCACGCACATCTAAATAGCTAAGTCTACTTTAAGATTTCAATTAAAAGCCTAGTCGTTTTTTCCTGTGGTCGTTAGTGGCGTCTATTATTTTGTTGTGTGCAGAGTAAATAGAAAAATCTACCTTTCCCAGGTGAAAATCTGTTCAATAGAGCTAAGCGTTCTAATTCCGTTTAAAGAATATAACCTATGTTCTTAATTTTTGGTGGCTTATTTTTGAGCTCTGTCTGCATTTTTATGTATAATGCTTTGATCTCTTGCAGATCCCAGCAAGCTTTTATGCAAAGTGGTTTGTCTCAGCCATCACCAGTAGTTCTGTCTGGTACAGCCTTACACAACTTCCCAGCAGTGCAACACCAGGAGCTTGCTAAGGCACAGTCAAGCCTGGCATTTCAACAGACTTCTAATACACAACCTATTCCTATCTTATATGAACATCAGCTCAGTCAAGCTTCAGGACTGGGAGGCTCTCAGCTTATTGATACACACATTCTCCAGGTAGGAAATGCTCCAAAATGCAAAACTTCTGCAATGGTTTGATACAGATAATGCAATAATAAATCAAGTATTGCTTAGCTTAGGGTAAGTCCACCTCCTTGATAATTGCATGATTGTCAAGGTGGCAGGAAACTTAAGACTCTTGGAAGAGAATATTCTTTTGATTTCATGAAGGTACATTAGTATAATCTCTGAATTGAGGATTTTTCCCCAGACTACAGGGCTCCTTGCACTGCTATCACTAACTGGAGCTTCAGATTTAATTTCTGTTGTGGTAGGTGATAAAGGGCTATTCTGCCACTTGCAAATGAGAGCTTTATCACAAGCTGAAACCTTCAGGTTGTCAGGTTCCTGTGTTGTGGTTTGTACTGTACTGGTTGAAATACAGAATAATGTTCCATGCCATCTCTGAACTGCTCTCCTAAGTATTTTTTAGTGCAATGGTGTCTTTCACTCTTCCTAGGCCAGAGCTACTCTCACCCAGGCTTCAAATCTGTACTCTGGGCAAGTTCAGCAGCCTGGCCAGAGTAATTTCTACAACACTGCACAGTCTCCCAGTGCTCTCCAGCAGGTAAACTATGGCATGGTAAATTTCCTAAATTGTATTCTTCTTAAAAGCATGTTGTTCTTGATGTTTTTTGTGGGGTGGGCGTGGAGGTGGGGGCTGAGACAATCTTTAATTCTTCTGAAAGGCAAGAATTGAAAATTGATGGCACAGGAGAGCTACTGCAGCAGCACTGAAAAACTGCATTGGTGAGAAGTTGGATGGCCTACAAATTCATGCTGATCATTTCTCTCTGGCATCCTTCTCTTAAATAGTTCATTCTCCAGTGAAAGGCAAAGATTTAGTTGGCACAGTGATGTTGCTAATTGATTGCAGCATATGCTGCCTTTATGGGGGCAGGTATCAGTGATGGTGGAGACACAGACAAACTCCAGATGCTTAGTGCAGCTTAATTCTTAACACCAGGTCTCACTGAGGTGAAACCTCAGAGCTGCTACATATGTCAATGATATCAAATATATAGAAAACAAATGAGAAGTCAGCAGATAGATTATCATACAGGCAAACAGGACAACCAAGTCAGTAACCAGTAACCTATGTCAGGAGGTTTGTAAAATAACTCCAGCGATTTTAAGTTTTTGAGTTCTTTCATGAAAGATCTGTTGACTTGCTATGTGCAAGCATTCTGTCATATTTACAGGATGCTGTGCAGTGGTTTTCATCTTCTCATTAAATTTTATATTTTTTTTAATGGCTTTTTAAAAAAAAAAAAAGGAAAAAAGCTTATGATGGGCTGGTTCTTGATAATAGACTAGTTCATACGCATGAAAAGTTGCCAGGACAGGTATCTAGAAGAGTCTTAAATTGAATCTCGTGTATTGAAAATCTAGCATAAAATTTTAAGGACCTTTTTTAGAAGGGTTAGTGTTACTAATGTGTTCATGCTTGGCTGCCTCTATACTTTTAATCTATGTTATCCTTCACAGCAGAACATTAGTAAGTCTTTCACATCTGGAGAATATATCATTCTTCTAGTCACATTCAGAATATAATTTTGCAGGTTGTGGATTGATGGTCAGACTAGGAAATGCAGCAGCTCCTACTGGGCAGGTCACTGCTGTGGTATTTTCACATTTATCACTACCATTTTGTGGTGGTTTCAGCCTGCAGCACTCCCTGTTAATCCAAACAAGGAACAAGCTGTGGTGGTCTGGTTTTTTTTTGGTTTTTTTTTGGGGGGGGGGGGATAAGCTCAGAAATCCTAGCTTTTGGGACTCCCAGAAAATAAACTCTAGTTTTCATCCCAAGCAGTGTCCTTATGATGACTAAAATCATTTTGAGTTTAAAAAAATAATAATTTTTTTTAATTAAAAAAAAATGGCTATTTCATTCTAGTTTTAGTGTCTGAGTTGAATTAAATTTACTACTTCATACGATGAAATTGTGTTGAATGATGTTGGAGTTAGTAACTAGCATGCAACCTTGTTTCTTAAAAGCAAAGACCCAAATGCCATTAGAACTGATTATAAAGGCAGGCTAAACAATAAATTCAGTTATTTGCTTGCAGCTCTCTGGGTAAATGTGTGAACTCATTAAGCCATTTATTTTGAATGTAGCTGAAATCATAGAGCTGGTAAAGAAAGTTAAATAATGGCCCTTGTGTATATGTTACTGGTGAATTTGTATTTTTTTCCAGGTGACAGTACCTTTGCCAGGATCACAAATTTCTTTGCCCAACTTTGGATCCACAGCACAGCCACTTATTGCCCTACCCCAGTCTTTACAACCACCACTACAGCACACACCACCACAAGCGCAGGCTCAAAATCTAAGCAGACCTGCACAAGTAACGCAGCCTTTCAGAGGATTAATCCCAGCAGGAACTCAACACAGCATGATTGCTGCAACTGGAAAGGTAACAATATCGGTAAATCCACCGTACAAAAATTAATACAAAGCACAGCTGTATGCTGTTTTATAGAACCAGCACAGCAACCTGTGTTGACTCTTGCATCTAAAAACCTGCCTTGACCTTAAAAGGCAGGGAGGGGAAGACAGAAAAGCCAGTGAAGATTAGTCATGGATTAGTAGGGTATTTCATGTAGAAGTCACTTAGAAATGAGTACAGAGACATTGTTTGAGCAGCAGGCAAACAACATTACACTGTCAGGCCTGGTTTCTGATTGTGGTCATGCATGTGTTTGTCATTTTGCTCCAGTATGAGACCAGGAACAAGTTCTAAGATTTCACTCACATGCTTCCAAACCACCCAGTGCACCGGTCACATTTGTAATGCCTCATTCTGCTGTATGAATCTGTTCTGCCATATACCTGTTGTACTGTCAAATAGGGGATGCCTGCAGTTCAGGGTAGATCTAGTCTGCCCTGTTCTCCAGATTGATGAGTGTCCTGGAGAATTCCAGTCAGGTAGCTGTGGTGAAAAACACTGCAAAAGAGAAATTTACGCATTTTTGTGTAGATAACTCTCGAGAAGGGAAGTTATCCCTTGTACATTTGTGAGGACATTAAAACCTGCTCCGTTGTGTCCTGGAACTTGAATCCAAGAGTGAATGTCAAGGGATCAAATCTTTCCGGTGCAACAAACTGGAGTTTTAGGGGCTGCAATGGACTCTATCAGCTGTGACGTTAAACCGGAATTAAGCTCTACTAATGTTGCTGGGGGTCTGCTTTTCTGAATAGCACAGCAAGGTGCGTATTGAGAACATAGCATTGTATACAAGGCAGAACCTTTGATGTGTAAAAAAGGATGGTCTTGCAGCTGAAGAAAACTGTCCTTGAGTGACAGCTCCAGTAAGGAGATCATACTAAAACAGTGCAAGAAACTTGAATACCTAGGAGGGAATTATCTCTTCTCCTTTATCTGGAGCTGCTGTGGTAATTGCTAATGAGGATGTGTGGAGCTGGCTTCCAATCACAAGGTCTCTTGTCTTAGATGGAATCACAGATTTACAGGCACCTGGGATTTTCGGATAGTGTGCAGCACAACGCAGTTGCAGCATACTTTCAGGTGAGCAGTGGGTGATAACACTGGACATGAACACAGCTAAGCTTTGTGTCAGGTATAGCAAGGTCTTTCCCCAGAGTAGGGAGTAGTGGAACTGCACCTGAAATCCTTACAGCTTGTAGCCTAGATTTTAGGGTGCTTTTGAGTATAAAATGACCCTGCTGTCCCAATGGTTTACAGCTGTGACAAGAGAAAATCTCTCTTGGGCATTAATTCTGTGTCTTGGACAGTAATGCCAACCAGAATTCCACATTACCTGTATGAAGTTTTCATCCTGTCACCCACCAGAGTGTATGGTGGGTTTTGCAATTTTCTACCTTCATAGGATCTGGCCAAACCTTTTCACCTTTATAATTTTTATGAGCCCATCTTCCAAGCAGCAGTGTGTTTCTTGCTACAGTTGTCATTGGAAAATGATCACTGATTTCAACAAGAAATGAGGAAGAGCTACAGTGGGATGGTGGCCTTCGGTGACTTTCGTGCCCCATTTTAAGGGTTCCATCATGTTTCTGCTGAAGAAAGTCAACTTAAAACAGCCACTCACTTTTAACTGATTTATTGTTGCCGTTATGCTTCATGGCTGTGTATGGAAAGATACTGTTCCAGAAACTAATTTATTCTGTTGAGTGTATCTGCAAAATAACATGCAAGATTTGTTGCTCCATTTAGAGTCTGCAGATTTTTTGCGTGAATGACAGCTCTGTTTTTGCTGTGCTTTTGGTTTTTTTATAGAACTGGATTATGTTATGGCACTTTTCACTTCAGGATTTTTCAGGATTGTGTCTGAATATTTTCATGTGGTACCCAAGATGGGGAAGGAAATTTCAACCCTGAAACATTTTATTTTTTTTTTTTAGGGCTAAATGTGTGAAATCAGTCATGAATCCCCTTTCATTATGCAGGAAAATCAAGTTAGAAATCCAGTACCATTGCTGGAAGTGCCAAATAGCGCAGGAAAATTGTACACAGAGGTTCTTGGGCTGCTGGGGTTGTCCTAATTGTTAAGAAGCTGTTTTCCAATCTGACTTTTACTTCCACTTAACTGACCTATTTTCATTAAGAAAAATGTGAGGTAAGCTAACAGTTACTTAGTAAATGTAATTTTTCTTTGAATAAGAACTAACATGCCAAGTGCTGTGTTTTTCAGATATCGGAAATGGATCTGAAGGCCTTTGGAGGTGGCATTGATGTTAAACCTGGAACACCACCAGTTAGTGGTAGAAGTACTACTCCAACATCCAGTCCTTTCCGGTAAATCTCTCTTAAGCTCAAAATTCCTTGAAATCAGAGCTAGAAAATGTACCTACTCATGCATGAGCAGCCAGTTCTGAAAGGTATGAGGTGAGGGGCTACTAATGTAAAATACAGTGCTTAATCTCAGCTTAAAAGCAGCATTCTGGTAGATCATCAGATCTGCTATACTTGGCTGGAAGTATATAGCTCTGAATTAAAATGTTTAAAATATTTTTTGTTAATTAAATGAAGCTAAACAGATAATGTAAAAAATGACCTGGGATTGTTCCAGGAAAACACAGAAGTGGTAGGGAAGATGTACTTTGGGGTAAAACTCTAAGACAGTTTCTCAGCTGCGATGCTCAAAGTAAAAACACTTAAAGGCTTACACCTCAGTTGTGGCAACAGTTCTGTTAGAGAACTAAGAGTTGGTACAAGATCTATAAGCTTCTCACAAGTGAAATTACTAAGCTGTTTGCAGGTTTGCTTGGTTAATTGACAGAATTAACAGAATCTTGCTCATATGCAGATGCACTTCATGGTAAACCTATAGGCCTGCTTGTGGGTGAACTTATTAGTGGGCTGAAGGAACTTGGAAATGGAACTTTGCTTCATGACAGTTTTGTTCCTGAAAGCTGCCCTCCTATGCATAGTAACTATATTTGGTGGCTTTCACTGTAGCAAACTGGCAGCGTTCAGGCTTTTCTAGTGAAGCAGAAATGAGAGTTTGATGACCTCCTACATGCAATGCTGAAGTTGTGCCTCCAATACTTCACCTAAGAAAAAAGTGAAGGGATGAGGAAGAAGAAACTTGAATTTGCAAGCTGGTCAGCATTTAGGACAATTGACTCTATGGTATATATCTTAGAGATTCTACATAAGATGTCTTTTCTCCTAGCAACCAAAACAGGGCTTATCATAAGCTTTTGCTCTGAAGTGTAGAGGTACTGGGAACATCGACAAAAGCACAATAGATCTCAAGAGTTCAAAGTGAAAACTAAACAGAGTTCTTTAAGCTTATAAAATGTTGACGTGTTTTGAGTTTAGCTGGCTTCCTTGCCACTGGTGCCCTGCTGCTCATTTTATGTTAAGTAAGTGTATCACCCACACACTCTGCATGAGAACTCTCTGCAAATCAAGTTCCATTTCCTAAAGAAGGCTGTTTGCTCTTTTTCTGAGGGCTGTTTGGTGCCCTTCCCCCAGATAATCTTTCAGATTTCACTTAATTCATGGTGATTCAACACCTCTTAAAAGTTTTAAGAGGGTCATGTTCTTAGCCAGATAAAACAGGGGGAGAGTGTTTTCTGTGCATACTTGAAATCTGTTCAAGTGCGTTTTGAAACATTTGACAACAGGTCAGAGTAGAAGCAGCTGCACATGGCAGCTTCTGCTGCACATGCTTAAAGCCTGTTGTGACAAGCTCTGAACTTGACACAGTAGAGCAAACAGTGTAAAGAGGTGGTTCTGAACATAAGATAGCAAGGATGGGAAGTGGAACACACTTTTAACATCAGTATTTGTGTTATTAATACTTTTGGGAAAGGTCTCTTTCATACAGACTTTACCCTGGAATCTTTCCATATCCTGAATATTTCTGATTATGGTTTCTGTTTGTATTCTAAGTTCTGGGTTTGTTTGCATTTGAAACCAGCTCCTCTGAGAGATTGTTTTCCCCCCTCCAATGCTGAATTTCTAGTTAAGTTGTAACTAAAGGCAGAAACATCCTCTGAATGACAGCAGTGTGATTCTGACTGGTGTTCTTTTCTTTAGGGCCAGTTCTACAAGTCCTAACAATCAGTCCAATAAAATGAACAGCATTGTCTACCAGAAGCAGTTTCAGTCAGCAGCTGCTGCTGTGCGAATGACACAGCCGTTTCCTGCACAATTTGCACCACAGGTAGGTGATTGGTGGCTTCCTACAAACAAATCTGTTTCTCTCTATGACCTGGTGACTCTAACTTGGCTGTGTTTCCTCAGGCTTTATCATGGGGAGATACAAAATGGAATCCTTAAAATGAAATGGTGTGAGAAAACTGATTTCAAGATCAAAGCCAAAAAAACCCCTCTCTGGTCTTGCTAACTAGTAGTGCAGATTTTGTGGTGTGTTTAATTTTGAGAGTTCTGTGCAGACTGAGGATTTAATGCAAGTTGTGAATGATGTAGAACAGACTGTTGTTCTGATGGCTTCCCCATGCAGCTGTAATGCACCTCATCCTGCAAAAACAGATATTTGGTTGTGGAAGGGGAAAAGCTTTGTGTCTCAGAAGGGTCCCAGTGCATATTTTAAATGTTTAAAGACAAAGCAGAATTGCAGTTGTTTGTCTGAGATGCAGCTCTGAAGTATTGATGGAGCAGTTCAGGTTGGAAAGGATCTCTGGAGGTCATACGTCCGTACAAGGCAGGGCTGATGGCAAAGGGTTTGATTTGTTTCTGGCATTCCAGGGAGCACAGCAACTGTAGCCAGGCTGCTAGGGAAATGTAGCCTCTGTAAAAATGTAGGATATTTGTCTTTCAGCATTTGGAGTGTTTGACTGCAGGACTTGATCTGATTTTTTGATTGCCAGCAGTAGAAACTACCTAGCCTTTCGAGGGCTGCGTTTTACTGTGACTCCTCTGCTGCCTTGCATGGGTCTTCTCCCTTATTACATGCTGGGTTTAAATTGTTGGTACTACTTTTAGGCACAGCAGCACTACAGGGCTGTTTTTTTCCGAAGTTCAAGCATGGCATCTCTTAACATAAAAGCCTATTTTCTTGACATCAGTTTGACAGCAGAGCAGCAACTTTCTTTTTGCCCCTTAAGATAATGCCAACATACAATCTAGTTGGCAATTTTCTAATTGCGAAATGTCTCTTTTTGTTGTTTTTCCCCCACTTAGATCCTCTCTCAGCCTAACCTGCTCCCTCCATTGGTAAGAGCCCCATATACTAACACCTTCCCAACGCCTGTTCAGAGGCTGCCAGTAGCACTGCATAGTCAGATGCCGTCTCAGATGACCACAGGCCTTATGAGCCACCCTCATTTACGGCGTGTGGCCAGAGGTCTTTGTGGATCAGTATCTGGAGCCAGAGGCAATCAGGCCCAGGCTGCGATGAAGGCTGAACGAGACATGAAGGTTAGTATTTGAACAGCAGCGCTGTTAACACCAGTTCGGTCTTGACAGCTTGTAGGGCAGGAATGTTTCTGCAGATCATGTCTTCATTAAAATGCCTCTGGACCCAAAGCCAGTAGCGGGGCCTTTAACAGCTGAACACAGACCTTCTCTAAGCCCTATTTTTTTTAATAAGAACTTCAGACTAAAAAATTTGTAGGGAGTTTCCTTTATCAAGTGGTCTTGTGATCAGCAGTTGTGAAGCTGCCACTGCTGTCAAAGGCAATCTGACAACTAGGTTTCAAGAGCCTGGATTTTTTGAATGAGTGATGAAGCCTACAAATCTGGCTGCTAGCTATCATTTCACATCTGCCTCCCCAGCTCTGAGCAGCAGTACGAACCCTCCTGTTCCAGCCAGCCTCGCTCCTTGGTGACTCTGGAGATTCATTTCCCAGTGGTTTGAAATGCCTGTGATTAATTCTCTGTGGTAGAATGCAGTAACATGGTACACTCCACAGAAGATGTGGCTGCATTTCAGTAGCAGGTGGTGAGAGTCATCTAACTTATTAAAGCACTTTGGGACCCTTCAGGTTGAGGCATACTCTTCTTGCCAAGGCAAGACTGCAATATGGGGCATCTGTGTAGGGACACCATAGTACACTTAGTTTGTTTTCTGCAGAATAAGTTGCTTGTATGAATAGATGGTACTAAGGAGCTCGTTCATCTACTGTCATTTGCTGTAACCCATGCATTGAGGTGTAAAAGCAAAAGAGTGTGGTTTTTCTGGTTACATCTGGTTGTAGGAGAATTAATTGCCCCTGAAATTCTAGGTACTCGGTCCGTTTAGTTTTCTACCACCAGCTTATGCTAGCTGTAGACTTACCAGGTGATGCTTAGTATATTGTCTTGAGTCTATATTATGAATTGAATCTAGCCAGTCATAGCAAATACTAATACGTAGTCCTGGTTTTCTCAATCTCCCTGCAAACACTGTTCAGAAGAATGTGAGCTATTCTGTCACGCTTGGTTACTTGTGATGAAGTCATCCAGCCTTCTAGCCTTAACCTCCAGGGATGGCTGAAATCTATGCAAAAGATTTCAGGTGTCCATCTGGCTCCGGTAAAATCAGACTGTTGCTGCAGTCCTGCACACCAGACTTCACAGGTTTGTTTTCTGGTTTGCGCTGGTTGAGTTACTTGGAGAAACTACACAGTATTAAAGCCAAGACCTCTTGTTCCAGGCTTTTGCTGTTTTCTCCCCCATATTGCGTCATGTCCCTCATCCCCAGCCCTGTTTTCTATAAAAAAGTATAAAATACTTAGAGAGGTACATGGAAGCTTAGTGTCTGTATTTAGTTGGGGTTCCTTGTATGAAGATACACCTTTTTATTTTTAAAAAAGGTGTTTGACTGCATTGGGCTTAATCATGCAGCTTCCAAAAGATTGAACTCTTAATGCAACTCCTGCTTTGCCCGAGTCTGGGCAGGAATGCCAAGTGCTTGGTCTGAATCATCTGCTCTGCACAGTGCTTCACTGACAAATGAAAGGTTTGTTGTAAAACTGAAACATGTACTCAGAAAATCTGAATTTCTCAGGTGCAAGGCAAGGTTACCGGTAGGATTCAGAGGAGGGATTTGAAGGAAGCCAGGCAGCAGTTTGTGCTTCCTGGAATGAGCACCTGCTTTGACTGGGAAGCAGATAAGGCTTCAGCTTACATATAATGCAGCCTTGAACCCAGTTCACTTGCATCCCTGTTGCAGACTTTGAAGTCTGTGTCCAGAACAACAGGAGGAAAAAAAAATGGGTGCTCAGTCTAGATTCTGCTGCTGTGATACAGCCTCTGCGCTCAAGAAGTCCAGACCACGCGGCAGGAGAAATGACAGCTGGCATGGCCCTCAGTGCGGATGGTAGTGTCAGGGCACGGGTAGCGTGCAGACACGGGCGCCTTCTGGTCACGTCTGGCTTTTTACTGAGGAGTGAAGGTTCAATTTGAGCCTACTGCAGGCTGTGTTTATACTTTTTAAGCTCTGCAATAATAACTGGCATAAAAATATGTTAGATAATGTTTCAAACTGTTGTCCTTGATCGTCTTTTCTGGGGTAAGGGTTAGGAAGAGCAAGGGAAGCCTAGGCATGACATTAAGCTACTACTGAGGAGCCAGGTGCCCAGATGTGGTGACATCTGGGAAGCAACCAGATGGACATTGCCTTTCTAGGAAAGTCTGGCCACTGCAGTCAGTCCTTCCTCTTTCATTTAGGAAATACTTTTGTGAAGTCACTCTTATTCAAATGCTCTCTCTTCAGTAAACATATTTTTTCCCTTTAAGGCAAAGCAGAGAGCAGAGGTACTTCAGTCGACCCAGAGATTCTTTTCTGAGCAGCAGCAGCAGAGCAAACCCATAGGAGGCAAAGCACAGAAAGTGGATGAGAACGGGAACAAACCCACTGAGGCGATTGCTGACTCTTCAGGAGTCTGCCAGGACAAAACCGAGGAAAAGCCTACCCCTGCACCTGCTACAGCAACAAAACCTGTTAGAACTGGACCAATCAAACCTCAGGCAATCAAAACCGAAGAAACAAAATCTTAGAGGCTGTATTTCCATGGAGGTGGGGGAAGAGGGGGAGGGTGGGTGAGATGACAGCAGCATGAATTTGTAGCCCAAAGGATGAGACAACAGTCTTCTCTCCCTGCAGGGCTCTGAACAGCGTAAAGGGACATAGAAGCTATTAGCAGTTATGGATGCAAACTGCTGCATATCCAACTGAGCTTCTAGGCTCTTTGGGCTTGTATCTTCTCTAACAGCATGAAGGCTGCTTTTGGTGTGTGCACATTCTACATGTGTGCGTGTGTTTTGGCTTGCACACCTGTATGCTTCCCAAAGTGAAAAAAATTTGAGAAATGTCAACGGCGGGGAAGAAGGTGGTCAGGGAAGCATGTTCCTACCTGATGAGATGAATGCTCTTTATTTTTCTTCAGGCTCTGATCTTCAGCTGCTATTTATCTTTTTATAAACCCATGAGTAGGAGAACATGCAGATCTGAAGATGGTGCTGGGCCAAGTAATGTGTGTTAAGTTTTTAGTGACTTAAGAAACTTCTATCTTGTAATAAACAGGGGGATTCATATAGCTGGCAAAATTGCGTTTGCCATGTGACATCTAACCTAAGGTAACACAAAGAGTAACGCTGATGATGTTGAATTCCCCTCTGAAGGCAGTGCTTTGCTGGCTGCTGCTTCTTGGATGACAATATACTGTATTTAGATCACCATATGAAAATGCTACTTGGCCACCTGTGTTCTCTACACCCGCTCCCCCCTCAGTCGTTCACCTCTGGAGTTGAAAGGTTCATTGCATCAATAGTCAAATTTGTTCTGTTCACCTCTGTCCAGCTATCTTTATATGATGCGAGTGGTCTTTAAACGGTTTCCAGCTTATGTCTGTATACAGCAATGAGCACTTAGAACTGTGCCACGAGAATAAAAGAAACCTTATCAGATTAAAGAGAATTTTATCTAAAAGGTGCATTCTTTATATCAGAGCTGCGTCGCACCACCTCCTTGCCCACAGTGTGCTGGAAAGTAGAATCAAGTCAATTAAAAATGCCTTTTTAATTGTATCCTCTAGTATTATAGCTGTAGGACAGTACTGTATGATACTTCTGTGAATGTAAGATATCCTGTACCTGCTTATGATATGTAGTAGTGACTGTGCTATACTGGAGCTGTTTTTAATAATGTTATTCTAGAGGTTTTTTTCCAGACAATGATTGAAAAAGCTAATAAAAAGCACCAGGTACCACATCAGTAGCAGAATTTGCTGGTTTTTTCTGGGATTTTTTTTTTTTTACATTTTTTGGAAGGAAGAGTTGAGAGTCTAATGTGTATAATTTTGTTCAAATGACTGCAGAAGCTGGAAAGGCTGTTGCTGCTATTGATGCCTAGTGAATCGCTATTGGTTATCTTTTTATATAAATATATATATAATTTGAATTTTTGGAAACTTTAGCTGTGATGTCAACTTTGGAAAAAAGTATCCCACTTGTAGTGTGAGTTGGCATTGTACAGAAATTAACAGCCATATTGGTCTAGAAATGTTAAACTTAATTTTTTTCCATTTGTACAGGGGTAACGCACTGTATTAAATATGTACGGTCTTATTTACATGGGTTTGATTACAGAAACTAATAAAGTATTCTCTAAATAAAGTATCCGGGTAATCTCATGATTAGCGCAGGATGCAAGGAGAGCACCTGAACATCGTGTGCCAAGTGAAGAGTGTGTATTACAGCTTGGGAAAACAGACTTCTAAAGAAAAATGGTTTGAAACAGCTGCTTTTTTTTTTTTCCCCTGGCACTTTTGATCTCATTCCCCAGCGAAGGTCTCACAGGACGTGGCTTCCATCTAGCTCTGGAAGGAGGCTGCCGGTTGCGCTTGCAAGACCTTACATCTCCGGCGTGTTGGTGAGCTGCCTGCTGCTAGAGACTTGGGTTTTGTTTCCTAGAGAAGAGCTGCTCGTCAGAGGAGACCAGGACAAACCCAGCCCATTACTCTCATTTTAGCTGGTGGGTGACTACAGGCACCGGCTGCACGGGCACCCTCGCAGCAAGGGGCTGTTAAAAGCAAGAGCTTTCCTGCCGAGGGAGCAGGGAGCAGGACTGAGCCTTGGCGTGAGCCTTCGCACGGATGCAGGAGGCTTCCTTCTTGTGCTGCTCCTGAACTGCTCCCTTCCCAACTCACTGCAAGCAACACGCACTCGCTACCACATGTTCAAATCACAGAGTTACTGACTCTGCCTTTAAATTTGGGGCAGAATGAAGGGTTAAGCATCCTCCAGCCCCTCAGTTGTGGGGCTGATGGCATCCCTGCCTCCCTGGGCTCCGCGCCCTGGGGCTGTGGGGTTATGAGGAGGCAGGATTTTGCCAGCTGGCCACCAGAGGGAACTTGGTTCATAACAAACACCAGAAACCTTCTCTGTTGGTCTCTGAGAAGTAATTCCTGCCTTGGGAGAAGGTGCTGGCTAGCAATGCACCTCCAACAAAGAATGGAAAGCCAGCCGGGGGTGTCGGGGTGGCTCTGCAAGCGCTGCTGGGAGTTGTGCAGATTTGCTTTTGGTCAGGGCTGTTGCTGCCAGCCCCACGGTGGATCAGTCAGAGCAGGTGGACCTGCCCACCTTTGGTGGGGTGGGAAGCTGTGGTTTGGGGGGCACCGGAGGAGCTGGAGTCCTCTGCTGCCGAGGTCAGTTCTTTCAGGGGGTAGAACTGCAGCCATGTGGAATAAATAAAGGTGCTGTAATGCACGAACAGAGCGATGGGTAGGAGTAACCTCTGAGTAGGTAACACCACAGGTAAATCGCCCTTTTTACAGGAACCGTACAGGCACAGCTACAGCAAACGCTCTGGGAAAGGAGGATGAAGGTAGGGGAACTGACATTGGTTTGATCTATAAATGTGCGATAAAAGAGTAACAGAGTTATGCTGATATTTCCCTGGTTTGAGGCTATCTTCTGCCTGGTTCGTATTGGAAAGACCCCCTAAAAATGGGAAATCGTTCACTGTACTATTTTTAAGGAAATGCTGCTGAAAGGATCAATCCTAAATTCTCCAGTAAAGCCACTAGAAAAATCATGAATTTCCCACAGTCGGCTGTGGGAATGTACCAAGTTTGGGGCTTTCTCTTGTGCTGAGCAGAACAGGGATAATATTTCTGCAGAAACTTAATTAAAAGAAAATGCTTGGGCATTTTGTGCATCCGAATAACCATGTTTTGATGTGTGCATCTCCAAAACAGCCCTGAACCACCGTGGCTGCCTTTGAGGCCAGGTTGAGCTTCCAGTCACTGACCCTGGTTCATTGAATATTTTTGTGACACTTAACCAGATAACTTGCTCTTGGCCATTTACGCTGGAATAGCTCTTGCTTTTTTAATTTGATTGGGATTTGGTGTGTAATCTCTTTTCTAGGACTCTGGTCATCACAAATAATTGTGCTGAACCTCCCATAAATTAGGGAACTGTTTTGTTTGGGGAATTCACTTTCTTTTCTCTTAATAATGTTCAGTCTGTGAAAAGACCGTAACTTTTCTCAAGGGCAAGAGCAAGAAGGGGGTTAATGTGACTGGGGCCAGATCCAGCAACCCCCCTTGGCTCAGGCTGGTTTCTTGCTGGGATGCGGGAGGGGAGGGACACTCTGGGCTTGTTTTTGCAAAGCCCGTTAAGTAAAGCTGTGTATTCAGCGCTGTTCAGCTCCAGCCCAGCTTTCTGGAAATCCTGTGTACATTGGCTTGTCTTTGGGGTTGGTTTTTCGTTTGGGTTTTTTTTTCGTTGTTTTGTTTTTCGGGTTTGGTTTTTTTTTTTTTAGTCAATTAAGTGATGGCCTTCCCAGCCTGAAAAGACCCCGGTTGCTGGCGGAGAGCAGGGAATGGCTGGGGCTGTCTGCCCTCAGTGTCTCCACTCACTGAGAAACCGTTGGTGCTGCTACTCCCTGGGGACCTCTGAACAAGCCCTCCCTTTCATGCTGAGGCTTGACTCGCGCCTCTGGGAAGCTGCGGGATGAAGGGGGGGGCTTCAGCTTTGCCTCCTATCCTGGTGTTGGACAGAAATGCCGTTTTCCCATCCTCGACGGCAGGTTTTCTGCACGTTGGGTGGACGGCTGCTTGCCAGGCTGCCCCCGGCTGGATCGGGTCTGCCTGCTGCCTGCCTCGCTCTTCCCAGCCCCAGTGGGTACGTGACAGCCTCTGCCTGCTCCTGGGTGACCCCCATAGCTGCCTTCACCCCCAGCTTTACCGCCCTGGATCTTGCCCTGGTGTTTGCCTTGTTCCTCTGCACCAGGGTGGGTTTTTGCAGCAGGACAGAGGGATGCTGCGGGGACAAGGCTGCTCCCCGGGGCAGGGCTACGCACGCCTGTTTTCTGAGGCTGGGGGAACCTGTAATGCACCACCAGTTTATTGCAGCAGCCGCGGTCAGTCATGGTGGGACCCCTCTCCCCGTGGTGGGACCAGGGCCCCCAGCTCAGCGCAGATACGCGTCCTCCTCCTCGTACAGCACCCAGCTGGCTGCGATGGCGGGTGTGGGGCTGCGGTCGATGGCGGGGTCATTGCCGCCCCCCATCACGAGGATGGGGAAGGTGTCATCCCGGGGCACGGCTTGTGGCACCCCGCACCCCCTGAGGACCAGGGTGCCACGCACAACCTGCTGCAGCACGCAGGTGACGTAGCCCCGGCGTGGCGAGGAGCCCTGGGGGGCCCCCGGCTCCTGGGACGGCACGGGGCCCTCGGCATTGGAGAAGATGGCGTGGCTGACGGCAAGCGGAGGGATGTGTCGCCGATCCAGCTGGGCTGAGCCCTGGGGCCCGGAGGGTGCGAGTCCAAATGCGGCGCAAATGGGGCAGGGGGCCGGCGGGGCGGCGGAGTCTTGCCGCAGGTCACGGGGCTGCCGGGATGCGCCACGGCGGTCGAGTGGGCGCATCACTGGCCGGGGGGACACCTTCGCTCAGGCCGAGTTGTGATGAGCATCCCAGGCCTGCCAGGGAGCGAGAAAGGGTCTTTCAGCCTCCTGCCTACCCTGTGGCCCCAGGTCGGTCCCCCATGGGATGCATCCCATCCCACACCTTCCCCAGCCCATCCTGGTGGTCTAGCAGGGCCCTTACCCCTTTCCCCCCCCCACCGGATTCACCAGGGCAGCCCTCACCGTGGAGAAGTGCGTGCAGCCTGCAGCCGGCACCCGTTGCCCTCCCTGCCCCGGCACCCCCTTATCTCCTGCCCTTCTAGAACCGGGTCAGTTCTGAGCCAGAGCCCATCCCTGCGGCCTCCCGGCTCCAAGTGGTGCCGTCCCCTTGGTGAGCAGCCAAACACCCCGGTGCTCCAACAGCCAAGGGGGGCTGCCTCCGTCCCCCACATCCCTCCCACCCTGTGCTCCCCCCCAGGGCACCAGCCAGCCCAACCTGCAGCCCTGCCACCTGGAGCTCATTAATCTTTCCTATTCAGTAAATCTCCGGGGTTTAGTGCTGAAGCTTTAACTTTTATTCTGATTCAATGCTTTGGGCATGTCACAGTCCCTCTTCACGCTAAATAAAGGTGCTCCTGGGATCAGCCCTGTCAGCAGCTGCCTCCCAAATGTGGTGTTTTTCCTGGCCAAAGCCCTACAGCTTCCCCTGCCCCAGCACCTTCAGCCTGTCAGAGCATCAAGGGGGGTACCAGCGCTTTACAACCCCCTCTGGGCTCCAGCGCACCAAACCCCAAAGAAAACCCAGGTTTGGAAAGACGACGTGCAAGGCAGTGTCGGTGGGCAACGTTTATTGGGCTGAGACCCTCTGCATCCCCTGGGGGATGTGGCCGCTGCTGCCCCGTCTGCCCCGAATGCCAGGGCGGGGGGAAGCCTCCTACAGCCTTTCTACAATAAATAGTTAAAACAGCATGTTTTGGCCCAGCGCGGGGAGCACTGCCAGCCGTAGCTGCTGCACCGCTTCAGTGGCCAGGCACGGCCAGTAAAGCCAAAGCGCGTGGCCAAGAGGGGCTGGGCGTGCCAAGCTATGCTCTGCCAGCACTCCTCCCCACTCCTCTCAGCTTCTTCTTCTTCTTCCTCGATAAAATAAGGCTTGTGCAATGAGTGTCCGTATTCCCCGTTGCTTTTGATCCTGCCGGATGATTTTTGGAGGCAGCTGAGCTCTGGGATGACCCCCAGCACTGGCGGTGGGGGATGCAGCGGGGCTTGCGGGCTCTTCGCAAGGGAGCTCGGCTCTGCGGGGGTGCTGGTGGTGGGCGAACGCTGTTCTCCTCTGCGAGGCTGGCACAAGCCAGGGAGGCGTCCCCAAAACTGCTGCTGCTGGTGGGGGGGCGGGTGTGGAGGGCAGCAATGGTGCTCGTGCTCAGCCAGAGCGAACCCTGGCCCCACAAAGGGGATCGCTGCTTGCAACCGAGGAAGGCATTTATTTTAGGCAGAACCCTCCTGCACAGCATCTCCCCACCTCCACCACCCGCCCTACCCAGCCTTCACTATGCCTGAGCCCTCACTGCTCCAAATCCGGGATGGCCGGGCTGGGTGCTCCCGGAGGATGCCGGAGCAGCTCAGGGCTGGCTACCACCGTGGCCCATCCAAAACCTGCCGAGGCTGGGGAGAGACATGTTGCTGGCTCAACCAGGCTCTGGAGAAGCACTTAATTTCTCTCCCCTGCACTCGAGCACAATGGGATGTTGCCGGAGGTGCCAGCAGGGACATTGGGGGCCCCATCACGGCGTGGCTGGGCAGCACGTGGCCCCCACCATCGCCCGGGGCTGTCCGAGGCAGCGCTCCCGGCCGCACCGGGGGGAGCTGGGCAGCGAAGCGGGGTGCCGAGGCACGCACAGGGGTCGCGGGAGCTGAGCCGGCGTGTCCCCAACCCCGGCTCACGCCTGGGAGAGGCGGACGGGGTAGGTGACCATGTTGAAGCTGTCCCAGGCGAAGAGCTGCCGCTCGGCGGGGTTGTAGTCCACCATGCTGAGGTAGCGGAAGCGGTTCTCGAAGGGGATGCTGAGGGCCCGGCTCGTGCCAGTGGCTGTGTCGTAGGCGAAGTTGATGGTGGCATTGGGCGCCGAATAGCTGCTGACAGTGTAGAGGGTGCCACAGATGACGAAGGAGTTGGCCACCCCCCGCTTGCGGATGTTGGTCTCCCAGGTCCGCCGGATCTCCAGTGTCTCGGGGTCCAGCTTGGAAAGGACGATGGCCCCCCGGGCCTTCTCAGTGCTGTAGATCACCCAGAGCCCCGTCTCATCCACCGCCAGATCAATGTCAGTGTAGCCCCCCCAGGAGTAGGGGTACTGCCCGTGGTAGCCGGCGCCGGGGATCTCCCTCTCGGCCGTGATGGCCTCTCCCCGCAGGTCGTAGCGAGCCAGGGCACGGGAGCGGCGGGGCTGGAAGAAGAGCCCGCCACGGTAGATGACAGCCCCTGTGCTCTCCAGGGGCTGCGGCAGGATGTGCACCTTGGCGGGGTAGCCCTGGGCCAGCTGCTCAGCCGCCTCGTACTGGAAGAGCTGACGGACCTCCGTGCCCACCGTGTCCACGCGCCAGGTGGTGTCCTGCGTGAAGGGGGGCACCGGCTCCGGGTCCTTCATCCACACGCCGTACTTGCCGGCGATGGACTCTGCCCGGCCGAAGACGACAGGCTCCCCCACCCACACCAGCTCGCCGCAGCCTGCTCAGGGACAGGAGGGGAGAGAAAGGGGTTATTGCTCAGCGGCGGCGGCCCCCGGCGAGCCCCTCAGGAGGGCCAAGCGGTATTTATGAGCAGCGGAACGTGGGGCCAGCCGGCCGTGCCGGTGGCAGTACCCGAGTCCTTGCTTCCTGGGCGGCCGAGCGCGGTCTCCTCCAGCAGCCGGGATGCGGGAACCTCCGTCCTCTCCGACTGCAGCTCCTGGTAGGCGAGGGGCTGCGGGTCCCAGCGGGGAGCTGCGGCAGGGCCAGGCACAGCATGGGCAGGGGCCGTGCCTGTCCTCGCCACCCTCGGGGGGCTTCACGCTGGACCATTGCCCCCCAAAACGCCAACACCTGGGTCGCGAGCCCCGTGCCCCCTCCCGCTGCAGCAGGGCACATCTGTGACCCACTGATGGGGACCCCGCTCTGCAGCCGCTGAGGTTGTTGCCCCCCAGGTGCGGGGTTTAACGCTCCTTGGGGGAAACTCCTAATCCCCCCAGATTAGTGCAGTCCCCCGCGGCACCCCTCCGCTGCGGGGCAGATGATGGGATGACGAGGGCTCCGGCTGCCAGCCCCAACTGAGGGATGGGGAGGGGATTTGGTGCGATGGCCTGCGACCCCCCCGGTAGGGCTGAGCCCTGCAGTGGATGAGTGCCCCACCGAGGTGCCCGAGAGTGGGGGGGCAGCAGCGGGTGGACCTCACGGGGAGCAGCAAAGGGACTTAACCAGCGTCCAGGGGAGAGGCACCGGCAGTGAGTCGGCAGTGGGGATGCACGGGGGGTCCCGGCCCCCGGCACTTACCTTTGCCGGGGCCACGCAGGGCATCACGGCCTGGCCCCTCTCCGCCGGGGGGGCAGCGGGTGGCCCGCAGCCGGGTGATCTCCTGGGTGTTGCTCTCCAGGCGCCTCCCCAGCTCCTCTTTCTCCCGCTCCAGCCGCCTCTTCTCCTCCTCCAGCCGGGATTTGGCCCGCAGCAGCTCGCCGTAGGCAGCCTCCAGGCGAGCGGCCGGGGCCGCTTGCTGGGGGTCCCGTG